CGAGGGCTTGGTTTTTTTTGGTAGGCCGAGTTGTTCATATTACCTCCCAGCTCTCGTGGTTTACTTTCAGAGCAAACACTGCATTACGGTGGAAAAAAATAGCATTTTGGGGCTTATTATAGCAGTGAAACAGAGAAAATCAGACCTGCTTCTGCAGCAGTGTGCATGGAGTACTGTAGTGAAGACTCACTTTCCGGATTGAAATTTCTGCTTGCTGTAGGAGACAGTGGTCACATCTGGCAAGGTGCTGGGTGCCATGGCAGTGCCAGGGTTTGTTTCTGAGTGAATATATTTCTGTCCAAACTACTGCCGTGCTCTGGAGAGGTGCAGGTGATCTGGCTAGTGGATACCAGTTCAAAGTTCTGTGCTACTCACAAAAAGATCCCTCGCTTTGGTGAGGCTCCCCTGGAAGCAGGTTTTTGTGAGTGCAGAGCTTGAAATTTGAAAGCTGTGGATTGTTCATTCCAGTTCTGCAGCGTGCCTCCTGTCTGCCACCAGCCTGCTGGCTTCCCTTGCTAGCCTGTGCCTCCGAATAAAATGGTCCCTCTCAGCTCCAGAGTTCTTCTCAGGGTAAATTTAACCCCCCCCTGTTTCTCGGGCAAGGGCTCCCTAAAAGCAGCGCATGTCATGCAAACTTCATGCTAAGTACAGCTTGTAAGGTGAGGAAGACATTGTTCATCTGGGTGTGTTGGCTTGGATATCATTACAGCTGCAACTTTTGGGGCCCCACCCAACACGGCATTGCTTGTTAGGCAGGAACTTCTCTCTTGGAGAATATTAAAAAGTGGCTTTTTTAAAATTTAAAAGATAGCTCGCGCTTCTCGAGGCAGCCGGAGTGGGAGGCGGTTTGGGGAGGTTTTTCTTCCTAAACGTTTTGGAAATATGGCAGTGTAACGAGAGGAGCGAGTGGCAGTGCTCTGCAGGAAGAGCTGTGGAACAGGCCTGTCGGGAGGCGAGTGGAGAAGAAAGCTGTGGGAGAGCCCTCTCGCACCCCAAAAGAACGTGCAGCCAGGGGAGTGTGTTGGAGCACGTGGGGCAGTGTGGGGCAGCGCCCCACTTAGTGACCAGCCCCTTTTGTAGGGGACTCGCTACTCCTTAGGGTGCCTTGCCTGGGTCCTCCTGCTGGCCACAAATATCTCTGGGCAGCGTTAGGATGAAGCAAGGTGGCTGTCACAGGGATGTAGTTGCAGTGAAGTTGCTGACCCTTTGGTGCCTACCAGAGGAGAAGCCCAGGGGCTGCCTGAGAAGTACCCAAGTGCCCTTCAGGGAAAACCAGAACTTGTCTCGACCCTCTGCAAGCTGGCCGCTTAACACAGGTCACTAACGTGTGTGTGCTCTGACAGGTCTTGGTTTCTGCAGCACTGTAAGAGCGTACACTCGTACGAAATGCAGCTTGATTGCCTAAAAACGTGGAGTTGAAGAGTCAAATGGTCTGCAGTGACCTTTTTATAAAGGTATTGTTGCGATGGTTGTGTGGTCACAGGGCTAGAAGAAAAACTTGAATTCCTGCTTACAGTCCCAGTGCTACAACCAGGATCTCTCCCCGAGCAGCTCCGCATTCTGCTGATGTGTTTTGCCTGATGTTTCAGGATAAGGCGCATTGGCAGGAGGCCTGACCAGCAGCAGCAACAGCAGCAGCAGCAGCAAGGGAAGGCAAGCCCATCGAAAGGAGACCGGAGCGGCGACCTCCTCGCGAGCGCCGATTTGATAAACCTGCTGATGAGAAGGGCGAAGGAGGAGAATTTTCCGTTGATAAGTAAGAACTTCTCTTGTGTGAGGAGGAACTTGTGATCTTCTGGAGCGGGCTGTCCTATCTTCTGCTACTAAGCTTAAAAAAAAACAAACACCACTGTTTCACTCAAAATTAAATAGATGGAATTGATTTGTCAGTCCCAAGAAGAGCCTGTGTCAAAACGCTTCCTCTTTCCTTTTGCATGACCTCATTATGGCAAACGTGGCTCAAGTTCTAGACCAGGAATCACATAATGTGAACAGTTCTGTTGGTTTAAATGGCTTAAATCAGTTGGGTACCCACCACACTTCTCACAATCCATTCAGAGAGGTGAGAAGAGGAGCTCAACGATAGCTCTTGCCTGCAGCCTGAGATGTTTGCTCTTACGGCTGTTGCTTAAATCCATACAGCTGCCTTCAAGCCAGCGCAGGTTTGGCTGTGTAGGTGTTCACACCTTGGCTCAGTGGCTTCGGATCTGGAAGTGATGAAGCCATCCTATGCTCAGGTGTTCAAAGTGTCGTGTAATAGTCACTGCTAAATACTTCTAAATTCGGGTGAGCGTGAGATGAGTGAAAATTGTGGCATCAGCTAGTGGGGTGACACAAAATGGGTTGGAATAGTGGGCAGAAGATGCAAATAGTAAACCCAGAAGAGTGTTTTCTTCCAGATGTACAATGCAGACTGCACGTGGGTTTGGTCAGTGTGGTAGTTGGGTGTTGAAAGTAGACTGTACGTAGAATGGGTTCCCTGGAGGGGACCCCAAAGACCCTGCAGCCCAGCTGCCGGCCCACATTCACAAGGCCATCACCCAAACGCCTCCTGCACCCTCCAGGCGTGGGCACCAACCGCCCCCAGGGAGCCCACGCCACGCAGGGAGGCAATTTTTTCCTTAGAAGTTGAGAGTCTTGACATAGCACAAAAAGTAATTACCAAAGGAGAAGTTAATAAAATCCTCACTAGAGAAAAAAAGAAAAACCTTAAGAGCCGTGTCATAAACTCCTGTGGTGAAGTACTGCAGTTTGCCTGTTCCATCTAGACCCATTCTTGACCGACCTATGGCGTGGACGTGGTGGGACTTGGAAGAGGACGTGGCCGTGGGCCGTGGCATGGGCAGAGGAGATGGGTTGGACTCTCGTGGCAAGCGTGAATTTGACAGACATAGTGGCAGCGATAGATCGTAGTCTTTTTCTACTGCTTCTTTGGCTGTTTCTTTACAATAATTACGTTTTAAGTTTGCCTTTGAATTCCTGTATCTGGACACTATAATGTTAACTCAGTTTTGTTAGTTCTGTTTCACATTCACATTTCAGCGGCCTGAAGCATGAGGACAAGCGTGGTGGCAGTGGATCACACAACTGGGGAACCGTCAAAGATGAGCTAACGTTAGTAATCACTAATTTCTCAGAATTAGCACTGTGTTAATAAATCAAATTGCTACACCTTGCAAAACATAAACCAAGGCTGCTTTTTTGCCTTTGGTTTGCTAATTGTTGTAAACTAGTAAAGAAGCCTTTGCAGAATTCAGAAAATTACAAACTTAGTAATGTGTGAGATGGCTTCGACTTCTAAAATGGGGATTTTTTTTGAAGTTTGGAATAAGGGCTGTCTTGTACTTCTTTTACTAAGAACAGTCTAGTTTTCAAAGCTTTTTTATCACGTTAAGCATGCTTTTTCTCCAAGTATTACAGTGAAAACAACGTTGTTAATGGGGGGCTTCTCAGTGGGGAAAAACGAGGGAAGATGGAAAACAGAATTGTAACGTGGGGAGGGGCAGCAATTTTTAAGGAAGAGTAGGCTGTGTCTATCTGCCATAGAACCTAGTCATTCATCTTGCATAGTTTAAGTAGGGATGAACTTTAAATTTAAAAAATGTAATTACAGCGAGTTGGATCAGTCGGCTGTAACTGAGGAACGCCAGAGGGAGAGGAACATCCGCCTGCTGACTCGGAAAATAAGTGAGTAGCCCCCTCTTTTCAGATGTTCTTGATTGATTCAAAGGTATCGATGATTTCCTTTAACTTCTGATCATTTTCCTACTTCTGCTTTTACAACATTCAGATCATATCCTTCAGTAGAGCCAGAACCACAATCTAGCTGAAAACCTGCCTCTTAAAAAAATAATCTGCATCTGTAGAAGTTATCTTGAAGTTCTGTTCATGTCATACAAGCTCTTAGGTCACTTTCAGATTTAGTTATTAATCAGTTGTAATGTGCTTAGGATCTCAGGATTGCAATTGCAAGTACCAAATCCAAAAGCAACCACGCTCATAACTACTTAGAACAACCAAGCAGAGAGAATAGGATGTTCTTCTGATGGTGGAAGGCAACTCTTTAAATGTAGCTTTTCAAAACAACTGCTGAGACAGTGTGGCTGGTGTTGTGGAAGCAGGGATGTATCTCGCTTTTCCATTCTCTGGCTTCTGGGCAGCTGGGAAGTGAAGTTGTTTCTCATTTCACTTGGACACTGTTAAAGACGAAGCCAGTGACTGGGTGAATCAAATAACTTCAGAGAAGCAGAGTGGTCAGTTGTGGCACCTGAACTTCATTGAAGGTATACAGGTTTTTAGGGAAGTGCAGTATTTTAATGTGTGTTCTATGGTGCATTCAAAAGAAAATGGCAAATGGGTATATTAAATACTTGTTTGCCCACAATTTTTAGTGTGCAGTCATCTGTAGCTTGATTTCCTCAGTTAGTGGTAAAGGGGAGACAACTGCTCAGTAGAGACTAAGTGATTTCTTTTAATTGCATCACTAAATGCTGTCGTTTCTCTGAGGTTCTGGGTGTCCAAGGGTAAAGTTGTCTTGTAAATAGAAGGAGTCCAAGAATTTTTAAGCAACTACAGCTTCAGCATTGGTCAGAAAATACAAACTTGCTAGTCCTGGAAAAAATTGTGTTACAAATCTGGATATACAAAATTGGCTGTGTATGCAGTATTTTCTGGGTCTTTAGTAGTAGTGTCCTGGTGCTTCAACAGATCCCAGCCCGTCCTTGTGCAGATCAGCCATCTGCAAAGTTCTGGTGTTTTTTTTCTTCCTCAGATTTGCAGAAAATGAGTGTTTTTGTGGTTTCAAGTATACCACTTCTGCTGCAATCCAACAGTTACATTTACAAGCATCTTCACACGGGTTAATTTCCAGTTTGTCTATTTTGGATCGCTAATTTAAATATTTCAGTAGAGCTGTGGGATGTTTTACTGGATTAAAATAGGGGGAATACCAAGGAGTAGTGTCTTTGCACCGAGCAATAAGCATGCTTTTGAATATGTAACATGTAAAAAATGATTCTGTTCTGTGGAATGTGAAAAATCTGAAATAGAGTAATTTTGATGTAAAACCCCTTTGTTATTACATCAAAATTAATGGCTGCAGAAAAAACCTTTTCTTCTAAGTTGATGCTTTTGTGATGTTTGTGCTGCACATGTGACACTACCCTTCTGTAATGTCAAAATACCTTATAAATCAAATGGAGTTGCATAAGCACACAGAAGAATGACGAGAGGATTGACTGCCTGTATAGTTGGAACACGATCTGTTACTGAACATGGTGGCTGTGTTTTACTTAAAAATAGCTCTTTGGCAGGAGCTGGAGAGGATTTACAATGAGGTGATACATCTCAAGTCACTGAGTTGTGTGCGCTTGCTTTGTCAAGTTAGCTGAGAGTAAAAATTGGTTACCTGGGATGTTAATAACTGTCTTTGAATAAAGGAAGCTGATTATTAAAAATAAAATCCTGAGAATTACGGTAAGAACAAACTCCATCTCACTGTCCAACTTGAAACGTGAGGAAGGTCTTGGAAAAGGTTGAGAAACTCGTTACAGTCTGTTGGAGAAGGTGGGCTCCCACACTTGGAAAGAAAATTGCAATTAATATGGAGAACAGACAGCATCAGTGAGAGTGGGGGAATTGGGTTTTAGATAAATGCACACATTTCAATGCTTTTTTATAACAACGAAATGGTTATTATAATCTGGTGCTGATTAGGAACTGCTTTTGAATTCTCTGTGTATGGAGTGTGAATTCCAAGTCATGATCATGGTATCCATGAATTTACCACAGGGAGAATGAGGTTGAAGAAGTTAAGGAGGAAGGTCCTAAGGAAATGACCCTGGACGAATGGAAAGCTATTCAAAGTAAGGATCGTGCAAAAGTTGAGTTCAACATCCGTAAACCAAATGAGGGTGCTGATGGGCAATGGAAAAAAGGATTTGTTCTTCACAAGTCAAAGAGCGAGGAGGTAAAGTGATTTTCGATATTTGCTAGTGTCCAGATTGTTTAGGCTTGTCTATTGATGCATATTTCTGGAGGGGAAGCTCTGCTCCAACAGGCTGACCTGCTGCTGAAAGTTTATCAAGTGAGAATAACATTTCTCATCGTAAAGTTGAGGCTGTGCAGCAGTTGCTGCTCCTAAAATGGTTAGTTCTTGTATTTGGTGCGTGTCCTGAGGCTGATGTGTAAATGCTGTGCTACACCTAACCTCTCTGAGTGGAGACTGCAGTGCTGCTGGGTCATGTTGTAAGGACTGTCCCGTGGTGAGCATTTCTTCAGAAGTTCGTTCACCACAATTAAATTTTCTCGCTTTTGAAAAGGGTTCCCAGTTCTGCTAGCCTTACTCAGCGTGCAGACTGCCTGCCTGCTAACCTCTGTGTAAGACTGAAGAAATAAATACTGGTGGTGCCTCAGCCCCCTCAGTGCCTGCAGTTTGTGGCTTCTGGTTCTGTAACGCTCCGTGGCATTTGCCCTCTGAAGTTCCTGTAGCCACCAGGTGAATTATGTTTGTATGCTGCAGCGATACTGCACGTAGTTGCTGTAGAATCACTTTAACACTGTAGTTTCTCAAACGTACTCATTTTGGTCATTACAAAGTGTATAATTCCCTTTTTAAATAGTGAGCGTTGCCCAGGAGAGACACATCTGCCCACTTCAGAGGGAGGGAGGTGCTGAGAGCTCTGTTCCCTAATGCAGGGCGATGGCAGCTGGATTCAGTTCCAGAACTGTCAGGACCTTTTAATCTCCTGCTTTTAACACTGTAATATCTGAGATGGCCTTTGGCTCTGTTCAGCAGATGGTTTTGACTCCCTTTGAAGTAACTAAACACTGTGTAATGTGCTGTTTGGTCTTCCGATGTGTATTTCTGCTGTTTACACCTTGTCACTTTCTTCTTGTAAGCTGGGGCCTGGTGTGCAATGGGAAGCGCTGTTCATCACTGCTCCATGAGAACTCCATTTCTGATCTCATTGAACTCAGAATGAGTTTGCCACAACCATGCCATTTTCTTTTCCTACTGTGTGCAGTAGTTCTGTTATTTTCCTGAAGCTACTTAGTGCTTGAAATCTTCATAAAACGCTGCTTTCTCTGAAATAGGGCTAGACTCAGTGCTGCTGTGTACTAGGAGAATAAAGTTGAACAGAAGTTCTCACTGACTTTACCAAGATGTATTAAACTGGAATCCTGTGAGAGTGTCAAGAAATTCCCCCCAGCTCCAGTCTCTGGAGCAGCTGTGTGTGATGTTCAGTTAGTGGCACGCAGTGTTTTCTTAAACGTACAAATGTAAGAAGATGGTTGTGTTCTTGGGTAGTTAAAAGCTGGAAAACTCCATCCAAAAAATAAATCAGTTAATAGATAAGGAGTAATCAAATTACTTCAGTAATTAGTAGGTTGTTCTTTTTGAGGTTTATTCAGTTAATTTACTCTGGTATGAATGAATTGGGTATGTTTAACACTTGCCTAAGTTAACTGTTCCTTGCTGTATAAGCACAGAAGTGAGAAACCAAGAAAAGTGCCTTCAAATCTAGAAGCTTCCAGACTCTATCCAGCAAACGTCTCTGCTCGCTTCAATAATTCATTGTTCGCTGATCCCCTGGGAGACAGCGTGTGTTCTTCTGCGAGTTTTAGAGCAGGACAGTTCTTGAAACACAGGTGTTAGGAAAGCTTTCGCTGCAGTTCTCTTGTGAAGAGCTTGAGAAGGTGAAATGATGAGGAGTTAGGAACAAAGCCTCCTAATCATCCGCTGCTCTTGCTCTCCATCTTCTTGGACATCCCTTTGAGTCTTGAGGTGTGGTTGTTGTAAGGCTTCTGTGATAGTGATAAGAAGGGTGTTGAAACGTTCAAGTGACTTGGTTTATAGGTAAATTCTGGGTTTCAGCCCCCAAACTTCTGTACTTGAGTAATCGCAATGTGTACCAGCAGATTTTTCTGAGAAATTGGGAGTTCAGTGTTGCAAGAACCTCCCTTCTTCTTGTAGCTTGAGATCTCCTGGGAGAACGCCCTAGGAAGCACGTGGGGATCTAGTGCTGCTCATCTGCCTCAGGCTTGTGAAAGAGCTGCCCTCCTCCTCCTCCTGTTCCTCACCGAGGGCTGAAATGCTCAGCTGTTTCTTGGGTTTTCCTTCTCTTTCCCCCTTGCCATGCAATTACTAGAAAGTGACACGTTACGTGCAGTGAACTCCTAATACCCTCTCATTCTTGCTGTCTACTTCAAATCCATATGTGCTGGCAGCCCTCGTGTGCTGAGCCTCCTTCCAGAAGACTGGGTCACGTCATAAGAGATCCTTCTCTGCAGCTGGCGTAATGTCTTCAATATTTTGTTCTGCTGATGCAGCTGAACAAAAAAATGGGAAGGAGTCAAACTGCGATGAGATCTTAAAACTTGTTGAGAGTTCGCTGCAAGTTCCTTGGAGCAATTCACCTCGTGCTACATCGGTTCCTGCTCTGTTCATCTGCTGCACTGGGCCCCTTCTCCGGGACTTGAGGCTTTCTTGCTGCTCTGATCATTTCCTTAGAGAGGAGCTCACAATGGAGGGCTGGGAAACATGTTTTGGAAAATAGTTCATTCTCTCAAAGTGGAGAGGAGTCGCTCTTGAATCCAGGCCGTGCAGAAAGCCTTGTTCCATTAACAGGAATTATTCTGAACACAGCCAGCCCCCAGCTCCACCATCTCTTGCAGCTCTGTGCCCCGGGGAGCTCCCAGCAGCTTGCATTCAACTTCTTATTCCTGATCCGAGATGTCTCTGTCTCCCCCTACAAGTCCATCCTCTGCTCCTTCTGGATGCACAACTTGCTCTCATCCTTCTGCTGCCCCGTGTACTCAGTGCCACCCGTATCCAAGCTCGTGCGACCTTGTTACCTGTTGTTTCTGTGTGTAGCTGAGTCTCATCTCTCCCTTTTGTTTTCTCCCCTTGTTCTTTTGTCACTTGGGCGTGGACACGCAACTTTCATCAGACAAAGGCGATGACAGAAATGCAGGGGAGTCAGCTGGAGTCGAATGAGGTACTGATCCTTTATATCTAACTGGCAGTATGGGTTTTGATCCGAGCCCCTTCTCAAACGAAGGTCTTTGATGCAAAGAAGTCACAAAAGTAGCAAATACGAAGCTCTTCTGTCCATGCCTGTTGTCTCACTATGCACCACATAAGACTCCTCGTAATTAGTACCTCTGCTCCTAACTAAGCTGAATTCCAGCCTTACCACAAATGCTTCTGTCATGAATCTCTTGCGTTTTGTTGTTGCTGTTTTCCATCTCTCTGCTTTGGCTCCCTTCCCGTTAGCAGCTTGTTCTTAACATTTTCGACAGCCTTCCCTGGGACCCACACGTGCAGCGCCCGATGCCTTCAGGAAGCTATCAGTTACTAGATCAGAGCACGACTGAGAGCTGCAGTGCGTGCCAATTAAATACTTCCCAAGCTGATTCACAATAAGCAGTCCTGTGGCGTGTCTGGGACTGCGTGTTACCACCCAACATCGAGAAGAGAACAAGGAAGAGGTGCCAAGTCATCTTCTAGTGTTTTAAATCATCTTGAGTTATTCAGGGTAAAAAATTCCGTAGGTTACACGTAAAATCTGCTGCTTGCTGGGTTTAGTGGTTAAATCCAAGTGAAATTGTAAAAATACAACGTTTTGATAGACTGCAGTCAATTTTTTATGCAGTAGCAGTGTAGGGAAGGAAACGCACAGGACTGCTGCACCACGGCACTGATACGATACCACCTCTCAGAAAGAAGTCGTTGAACTACGAGACAGCTGAAAGTACCATCTTAATGCCTTGCAGGGACTTTGGCCAGGAATTGGCCAGGGAGCAGCAGTTACCTGGAATACCCCGATGGGATGTGTTTGAAATGAAGCAGCGTGGAGTGGGAGCTGTCCCTGTGCCCTCCTCTGCGGGGTGCTGGGGAGGCCACGGGCACAGCAGGGCCTGGAAAGGGGTTAATAAATAATAAACCCGTGGGGGCAGAGACTTCGGGGTGCTTGGGGCTGACCCGAGGCATCTCCGAGAGCAGCTTTCAGCCTTTGGGCTGCAGTGGGCTTGTAAGAGGCAGCTGGATAAACCCAGCCTGATCCTGTGCGGGCAGTTCTGCCTTCTGTTTATCTTTGTAGTGCCAAAACCTGACTTATCAGACGGAGAAATCGTCCTGTGCAAAGTAGGAGAAACAAACATAGCTGGTGCTTGTTGTGCTCAGCGTACACCACCGGGAAGTGCTCAGGGCTGTGCTGCCGAGCTGCACCCAGGGCGTTAGGTGGAACCGGTCAGCACACACCTTGCTCTTGGGCTCGGGTTTCTCATCCTTCATGCGTTGGGAACCAGCGAGCTGTGAGAGGCTGTTTGATCATGGTACGAGTCACAGGAGTCATTTCTCTGCATGATTTGTGCGACTGGTTCTCTGTTTTAGCAGAAATGTGCTGGTTACCCCAGTTACACTATCTGGAGGGTGGTGGTGCCTCTTCTCACTGCCTGTTGTGGCTACTACAAACAGTAAGGGGTCCTCGCGGTCTCTCTTGCTTTAAATATTTACACAAAGCGAGGCAAATGGAGTGTAAACCACTCGCTGAGCAAAATTAAGATGGATTGCTGAGTACTTAAAAATAAATGAATTGGCAGAACCCGAAGATTCCTCAGGATAGGAGGTGTGAGGAAGTGAAAAGCTAGAACATCAGGTTCTTTTTGGCTCCATAGCCAGTTTGGTCTCAGGTGAGCCTGGCCTCGTTCCTGTGAAGGAGCTCTAGACTTTCCCTCAATATCCTGAAAATGTGAAATGACTTTGTTGGAGTGCTTAAACTCAGAGAATGTGACCTGTGTGCACTTCGTGGTACCGCTCGGTTCGTAGCAGCCCTGCTCTGGTGAGAGTGCAGCTGAAAACATTTCCTTGGTGGTTGCTCTCACTCACTCACACCCCTCGTTGCAGGCTCATGCTGAGGACTCTGTAATGGATCACCACTTCCGTAAGCCCGCTAACGACATCACGTCCCAGCTGGAGATCAACTTTGGAGACCTTGGCCGCCCCGGACGCGGTGGCCGAGGGGGACGGGGTGGCCGAGGGCGTGGTGGCAGGGCCAGCCGCGGAGGCAGGACTGACAAGGTGGGTAGCTGCAGCTTCGTCTGCAGGGGAGCATCCATGTCACTGGGGCTCTTTCATGCTGTCCTGGGTGTCTTTAGTTCTGGGGGAATCGCTCAGGAATTGAGCTGCACGTTAAAACCAAGTAGAACGTGTGTTTTTTGCAAGCTGACTTTAAAATAGTTTACTATTAGGGCAAAAGGAGGAGGGTTTTAGCAGCGTTCCTATTACGCACAAAAAGGGGGAGAGTGGGGAGTAGGTTGGCTAAAAAAGGCCCCTCTTGGAAAGCTGGATCTGAACCTGAAAAATGATTCTGCTGTGGGTGGGTCTGAGCACTGTCAGACACTCCTGTTGGTGCCCGAGCAGAACCACGGTGTGCTGGAGATTTTGGATGCACTCAGGGCCATGTGTACTCAGGGAGCCTTTGAGGGTGAAGGCGACTAGTTTTATGGCAGCGTGCTCTACCTCGAACTTGAGGAAATGAGGGGCGTTCATGCAGAAGTAGGACTTGCTGTATTTTTCCTAGTGTGCAGGAGTTTTTCCAGTTGTAGTCTTAAAGCCCTAAAGGAATGATCAGAAAAAGTATTGCAGGGGGCTTGGGGAGAGCGTGTAAGGCTGAAGGGCTGCAGGACAGCTGTAGGAACGATCTGCCCAAATACAGGTCACTTACTTGCCATAAATGCAGTTACTCAAATTGCTGCCTGCTTGGAAATGAGTTCAGGCTGGGTGGCCTGACTTCTTTCACATAAACCAGGCTTGTTTGTTTTAGCCTCTTGCAGGATGCTGGCTTTCTCTTCGCTGCATCTGTAAGTTTTTAGATTAACTAGTTAGAAAATCTCCCCTGATAACAGCACAGGAAGATCAGTTCAGGAAAATGATAAGGAATTGATGCTAAACGGGGGTGGGTTTTGCTCTGAGTTGTCTCACTAGCATGGCATCCTCGTCAAGGGTGCTGTCATGAAGTAGTTAAGCACTTTGAGACCTGCAGCTAACTTTTCTGCTGACGGTGTTCCTTTCCTTCCAGTTGGTGAAGGAGTTTGACGTGATCCACACGCCCAACCAGGTTGGTGATCTCTGCTGGCGCTTCCCCTACCCCTGAGCACGGCCGTCCCGCTGCAGGGAGCAGCTCCCCTCCCTCAGCAGGCAGCCTGCCTCAGCCTGCCCTCTGCTCTGCGGCCTGGCTGCTTCTGCAGGGACTTAGTCCTACCTGTGGCTGCTGACACAGGTTTTATCGGGATGGTTTAATTTCTGTCCTGTTAAATGTAGAAGTTTACAGAAATTTCCACTATTCTCTTTCCACTCTTCCTTTCCGCATTCCTCATGCAGAAAGTGCAGGTGATTCTCCAGTGCTTCCTTTTTGCATTTCATTGCAGTGCTGTTTTTTCAGGCATGGCACAGAGCCTTTTAAAAACAGAACAACAATAATTAAAAAAAAAAAAAAAAAAAAAAAAAAAAAACACAAACCTGCTAGGGAAGTACTGAGGAGATTTCTGGGTACCATCTGATAGACTGATACAATTTTTTTTATTAACAACCAGCTTCTGAATGAGGAAAGTTAAATGTGGGAAACTTGATCTGTGCTGTGAACAGGCCTTGTCTGTAACATTTCAGTCATGTCCATCAGTAAGAGCTGATGGTTGTGTGCTGCTGCTTCCTGTAGGGGGCTTGTGAAGAATGGGGGAAAAAAAAAAGCACCATGTAAGCTAGTGCTATAATCATGTGCAGATGCAGCCCACTTGATTTCTCCAATGTCTCTAAAGACAGTTTTAATTAAAAAACATACCCATGGCAAACTTCTCAGGAAAAAGAAAAGAAGGTGCTGTGCCTGCGGGGTAGCTGGGCAGCACTGACAGCAGGACAAGGGGCTAGGGATGTGGCAGGGCTTGGTGCTGCTGAGGGTAATAAAATAACTCTCCGATGTTTCTCTTCCAGTCGAGTGCTTCTGCTCCTGATGTAGATGACCCAGAGGCTTTCCCAGCTCTGTCCTAAACTGGATGTCATAAGCCAACCCTGCCCTCGTCGGGCCTTCCTCTCCGAGGCTTGCATGCTTAAGGATCCTAAACAACTAAGAAATTTAAAACAAAAAAAAAAAAAAAAGAAAAAAAGAGACTGTCATTCATACCATTCACACCTAAAGACTGAATTTTATCTGTTTTGAAAATGAACTTCTCTCGCTACACAGAAGCAACAATATGGTAGTCAGTTTTGTATTTAGAAATGTAATGGTAGCAGGGATGTTTTCATAATTTTTTCAGAGATTATGCATTCTTCATGGATACTTTTTTGTATTGCTGCTTGAAAATATGCGTTTCCAAACTTGAAATATAGGTGTGAACAGTGTGTACCAGTTAAAAGCTTTCACTTCATTTGTGTTTTTTAATTCAGGATTTTAGACATTTTCCCCCAAACTGCAAACTGGTTTTTAATTATTGCACACTATTTCTGTTTCCTTAATTCCTGCTCAGCAGGTTTTTACCAGCCCATGGTCTTCTGGAATACACGAACCTTTAATTTGGCAGACTTAGTGCTGTACGGAGTGCTGACTCCTGGAGTACTTTAGTTTTAAGCTTAATTTCCGACTTGGAGAAGCAGTCATTTTCATCTGTTCAGTAGTTTGTTTACGCAAAATCTTTATACAAAATTGATACCAGATACTTGAAAAATACTCAAAGCACATTGGTTTATAGTTGCATACCTGTGTATTGATCCAGCGATGATGTGTGGATAATTGGTCTAAACAGTTTTTTAAAGCTAATGTATGACACCTTTCACCCACCCTTTTTACCTTTATTCCCTCCTCCTTGTCCCTTCAACAGAACAAGATGCTTTGTTGGCAAAAAGAAAAGAAGTTTTTAAATTACCTCTGCTTTTTCTTTGGGAGAACACCCTGCAGAGTGACCTTTCCTGTCGTTTGGAGCTGGGAGGGAGGGAAGGTGGTAGCTGCTGCTCGGGTAGTCTGTCCGGACTACGGCTGGGCCGTGGGATTAAGCAGCAGTGAGAAGTGCATCAGCATCTGATGTGCTCGCAGCACTGCTCCCGCAGCGGCAGCTCTGAAGCAGCAGCAGCCACAGGACGAGGTTGTTGTGGCAGGAGGGAGTCCTGGCTTCTGTTTCAAGCAGGGACGTTGCAATCTGTGTGTGATACAAAAAAAAAAAAAGCAAAATGACCCCTGACACTTCCCCTTTTCATCTGAATTTAGTTCTGGATTTTGTGCAGTGCTGATTGCTAGCTGACAAAGGAATGTTTTCCAGAGAGCGATTGTAAAGTTCTTTAGACCGCCGTAGGAACTCGTAGGTTTAATTTAATCCCTGTGAACAGGAACATTACCACTCGGTACCCAAAAGGAGGTGAGAGAATGACAAATAACGAGGGTTTCTTGGGGTTTTATCTGCAGCATTCGTTAGGAGACTAGAAGCGGGGTTTTCATTTTATTTAATGTTTTACACTTTGGACAGCTTATAACATTTGTAGTTTCTTAACTAGGTAGGTAGGAAACAAATGGTAATGCCCTATTTTTTTAAAAGCTGTACAGGACAGGCAAAAAGTATTGGAGACCTTTGAATATGTAATACCCAACTCCTTATCGGTGGGGTTTAGCTGGCTTGATTTACCCGAGCTATTTTCTACAGCAGTTTTTGTTGTAAACCACTGTTAATACCATCAATTAGACTCCTTAGTGCGCTCACCTGTCAGTGGAGGTACTGGGCTGTGAGAAGGGGATGAGGATCTCTCTCAGTTCACTTCTGACCAAGCAGATCTGACGCAGGCTGTGCTAGTCCTGGCACCGAGTTGTTTTTCTTCTGCCTCCTTTGTAGGACGTGCTGGACTTCCAGCATTAGGGACGCCTCAGATAATACATAATAAATGAACACCTTGATGTGCAGAAACACTTCTGGGCCCTCCAGTCCCTCGGGGCCCTGCTGGCCAGACTTGGCCAGAAGCTTTCCCTTGCCCTGCTGTAGGGTAGAGAGCAGTTTCCCGTTGGCACGTCACGGATGGCTTTCAGGATAAGCTTGAGCTTACCCCTGGTCTGTCTGCTCTGCTAGATGTAAATTTGCCTCTTTCAGTCCATTCCTGTCGAGAACTAAAACTGTGAACGTCTATCTTTAATATTGGTGGGTGTTAACTGAAATAAAGGTTTATTTTCATGCTCTTTTAGAAATGTCATGAAACACACGGAGGTGAAAACGCCTAGGTTAGCAGCGGGTCCTCTAGGTCCTGCCCTGAGTGGTCCGGATCTTCCTGTGGCCATGGTGCTGGGGAGGGACTCAGGGAACAGGTCTCTGTCAATGAGCTTGCTTTTCAGTAACACTTCTATCCTGCTTCTCCTTATGCTGTCACACCAAATCCAGGGGACTAAACCTTTACAAATCTGAACAATTTGGAAAAGGTGGCCAGCAGAAAAAAAGGTCAGAGAGGGAGGAGCACGCGGTGCAAATCAGCGTGCGAATTTAACGACGGAAGGGTTGGAGCAGGAAAGTTCATCTTACAGGTTGGATGCTGCTGATGCTGGGAGGAAATGGGAGTGACCAATAAATGTAAGTGTTGGCTGTGTGGGAAAGACGTTTTTCTGAGGAAAATGGAACATCAGAAAGTGGTGTGAATATGTGGGAGTTGACACCCCTCCTACCTGTAAGGATTTTGCCTGTTGGGATGGGTTTGCGTAGCCACACCTTGCTTTAATAAATGCAGGACGTACGCCTGGAGCTGACACCAGCACCTGCTGTAACCCCCTGCTTGTCCTGCAGTCATTACAACGACCCCGCTGCCTTCATTGCACACCCGCGTTTGCTCAGCCCTTGCCTGATTTGGGGTGAAATTGAGCCAGGACCGAGTGCCCCGGCACAGAGGTTGGCTGGAAAAGCCGAGTGCAGTGCTCGTGCTGGGGAGCTTGAGCCTGACGGGGAAAAGGGTTTGTGTGGCCTTGCTAGGAGACCCTCAGGAGCTCAGTAGCTGGCTCTTACCCCCAGCCGTGGTGCCGTTTGTCTCCTCAAGTTGGAGCAGGACTTTTGGGGAGCCCCGTGTGGGAACCTCATGCTTTAAGAGCCCGGAGGAATGCGTCCTGGCGTGCTGTGCTGAGTGATTTTGGAAGCAGCTAGCAACGTGCCTGAAGTCGAAGGTCAGTGCGCACAGGTAGGTTGCTGACGATTTGCTGACAGCAGTGCTGTTTTCTAACCTTTTTGGAGAAAAACTGCTTTGGGAAGGGGTGGCTGGTTGGGTTGTGTGCGGCTGACAGATGGAGAGCTGTCTGCAATGGGTGGAGCAGGGGGGAGCTCTGACACCTCGGGTGTGAAACTGCTGCTGGGCAATGCCTGCAGCCCTGGGAGCAGTCTGAGCACCTACTATTTTGGAACATACTGTTCCAAATACTGTTCTGAAATATTGTTTGGAAATCCAGCTCCAGGCTGAGCCCCCAGCAGCGCCGTGAGCAGGGCTGTGCTGCAGGAGCTGCTGTGGAGCCTCCTGGCACGTGGCTTCATTGGGGTCTGCAGGTAGCAGATCCTGCGGGTTTTTAAAGCCCTGTTGGAATTGGGGATGGAAGGAGGGAGTGTGCATTGCTCGTGGTGAGGCAGATTGCATTGAGCTTTCATGAGTTCGTGTGTGTGTGTCCTGAGCAGGAGGCTTGGTGACATCTGGGGGTCACTTTTCATCACAGTGCTTGCCGTGAACACGGTGAGCTCGTGTCAAGTGGCTGGAGAGTAGGGGTGAGTATCCTCACCCAAAAGGGACTGCAGAGGTGATGGATGGGAAGAACAAACCTTGCCACAGCCCCGGTAAGAGGAGCATCCCTTGGGATGCCTGCAGGAGGGCCTGGGCACTGCACCCACCCGCCAGAGCAGGAGGATGCTCCCCAGGAACCCACTTCTCAGCAGCTGTTTTTGCTGCTGGAGGAGCCCCAAGGAGCACAGCACGAGGCCGCTGGGTGATGGTGTGCTGCTGTCCTGGGGGCTGTTACTGGGGTGTTCCTCCTTGGCTCTTTTTTTGCAGCGTTTCCTGACACCCAGTGCCCTGCCCTGTGCTTGGGGCATGCCATGGACCCGTGGCTGGCCGGGCACCCGAGCTGCTCTGCGTTCCTGGGGGCTGCTGCTGCGGGGTGCACGGCTATAGAGCAAATCTACCAGCAGTTGGCTCAGTGTTGGCTTTGCTTTGTTCTCAGTATGCAGAAACAGCAGACACTGCCCACTGTAGAGGTGTCAGTGCAAGCAGAGGTACAACACCCCATACAATCAGTGATGCTGATAATCCCCGTGTGGTTTGGCACCAAATCAGAAGGCAGTGTTACCATCAAAATCAGTCTTGTCATGCAGTGGTCTTTGGACTTGGGATCACAGCAGTTTATAGAGCTCCTGTAGAAGATAACGTAGCTGGATCTGGAATAAAAACCAGGGGAATGGGCAAAGAGATCCCCCTAATGCAGCAGTAAAGTTAAAATTTTTAATTTAAGGGAAACGTGGTGGGGAGAGCTGTGGCCTTGAAGCAGCAGTCTTGTGCTGCAGGTACGTTTGTTTCTGCTTTAAAAGGAGATGTTTGCGGAGCTGCCAAGGATTGTCTCCTCCTCAAGCTAGGTAGCAGATTTTAGTGTCACAGGAGGCTGTTACATGAATTTATGGCACTGCTTAGCAGCTTGTATGGCCGGCTGGGGGTGGGGAAGTCACCTGAGTCAGGGAAAGGAGATAAAGGGCTGGTGCTCCAGGTAAGGTCAAATCTGGACAACCTCACCCCTAGGAGCAAGCCTCCAGCTTTGCTTTTAAGGGTGTTTTGTTCTGTGCCCGGCTGCACTTGAGCTTGAACAGAGAAAACAAGAAAACTGCAGGTTCCCAACATCCTATTTATAAATACGCATCACATATCTACACCGAGTAAACAGAGTCATTACGTGTGGAACACGTGCTTCAAGCCTGTAATTAGAACACTTCAATAAATCATTTAAATTCTCCACGGTCCATTTGACTTACTGTACCCATGTGCTGCCTCTTCCTTAATTTCTGCTGAGGATTTCTCCAAACTGAGCCACGGGGGCAGGCTCCTGATGGAGCTGCTCAGCCCTGCTGCAGAAATAACAAATCTCACAGCCTTTGGGGCCCGCGTGGGGCTGTAGCACCAGGGTCATGGGGATGCAACGACTTCGTGCCAGTGTTCCCTCTCTTTGAGGAACGCTGTTTGTGGGGTATTGGGCGTGTAGGTTTAGCACCAGCTCTTGCAGATTTCCAAATGTTGCATTTCTCACTTGGGTGCAGCTGGAGCACAGACTGCAACCGTGGTCCTGTCAGATGCTGAGGGCTGACCCTTACTGAAATCAGCGCTTTTTCTTCTTGGAAAGCATTATTTTAAATGATTTTTAGCTTGTCTGATGTAGTTCAAGCCAGACTTGGTTGCTTGTGGTCAGTGGGACAGGGAGCTGAGGGTACCCAGGCTGTGTAAAGGCAGCCTGAGCAATTAAACTCTCAAAAAGGCAGGCTGCTGAGCCCCAGCAATCCTGGCTCTTCTGTCTTTAATTCTACCTTAGCATGCTCTGTAAGGCATGACTGGCACTGCTGGAGAGGTTTGGGAGTTGGCTTTTGTCCCCTGGAGGTGTCACATAGGAGTTGTTGTACCGGCTGCAGTGAAACGCGCTGAAATACTCCACCAAGTGCAGAAATCAAGGCCGGACCGTTCCGCCCCCCTACCTCGTGAAAGAGCTGCCGTTCAGCCTCACCGTGTCCAAATTCAGTTTCCCTCCGTAGGAAAACACGGGCGGCAGAAAAGTGGTTGGAAAGACAGAGATGGGGCTGCACTCGAGCTCCTGCTGCTCGGCAGCGGTGTCTGTCGCAGGGGCCAGGATGCCCGCGGGCAGGTAGCCCGGAGCTCTGTCGGAGATGGGGTTAGCGAGGTACTCGGGAGCAGGCTGCATCTGTTCTGTCACCTCTGCCATCCTTCTGTACAGGTAGGGGAGCTGATGCTCGTAGCTGTCCCCGTCCGTTGTGCTGGGCAGAGCCTTGTACTCCGACTCCTGCTTCCCAAAGCTGCTTTCCGACTGCCAGTCGTGATTTTCTCTGCCGTGAACCTTGCCGAAGATGAGCTTCTCATGGAAAATCTGGGAGTCTGTCTTCGTGAAGCCCTCCTCGACTTCTATGGTTTCAGGCTCCTCGAAGCTGCTTGTGTCCCGCAGGAACAGGCTGGAGGGCACGCTCAGCTCGCCCTGCTGAGGGGCACACGGACAGCAGCCACGTTAATCCTGCAGGCAGCGCCTTGCGACCTCCCACCCCTGAAATGCAAACACCTCCGCACAGCAGCTACTGCTAGAAGCAAAAACCTCTGCGTTGTGCTTGCCTTTGTGTGATGCACACTGCAACGTGGAGCAGGGCTTATCCAGCGCCAGAAATTGCTGGATTTGCTGCATTAAGAGCTTACCGACGCACAAAGCTCTGATTGCTTTTTCCGCTGAAGATGTTGGGGATTAGGAGAAGAAGAAAAGCGTGGTTTACCTTCACAGCAGCGTAACTCCTAGCCCAAGTCGCGTTAGCTGGATCTGGGATGGCTTTGTCGTGCCACTGGGGCACGGTGGCAGAAAGCAGAGAGTACAACCTGCAAATGGAACAAGAGAAATTAAAAGCAAGAATGACGAGGTCTGTGTAATCACAGATCTGCCTTAGCAGAGATCAGCAGAAACCCAGCCTGTGTGGGACGGATGGATCTTGATGAAGTTTTGGGGAATGCATCCATTTTGGCTGACTGGACAGAACAGCTTTTGACTTACTCTTTTTCAACTGTTTGGGGCCATCGCAACACTTCAAGAGCACACAATAATTCCCCCAGTCTTAGTTCAAATCTTAGTTCAAATCCCCCAGTCCTAGTTCAAATCCGGGGGTGCTTGCTCTGGGTGCTCACGTTTCCCAGGTACAAGGCCAGGGGTGAGGTAATGCTGAGCAACTCCTGATTTAGCAAAAATAAATGCTGCGCAGCATCGTCTTCCTGCCAGCCCTCGTTAGGTGTTTATGAGTAAGAGCAGCACCCAGCACAGCGTGCTGGGCACGGCCCCGACCTGCAGTCCTGGAAGGGCTGCTTGGGGAGGTGTTCATGTTGCTGTAAAGACAAATGGCTTTTAGTCACAGCCTGACTTCATTCCAAGGATTGTACGACAAATTCATTTCAGTGGAAGCCTTAAGCTCTAGATTAAACAATCTGAGATATGAACCACTGCTGTATTTTAAGCACAGTTTGTGTTCTTACGCTCGTAATCTGAAACCTTTCTTCAAAACAATCCTCTCTCTGCCCCAAGATGTCCTGAAAGCACATTCCTGCACCTCCTACCAGAACTGCTATCTGTTATTGAACCCAAACAGGTCGATGTACTCACACTTTTCTTGCAGGACGCATGGAGCACACGCAGACTGAAAACACGAAGAAGCTGCACGTAAGTACAACGATGAGCCAGTCCACAGCACCTGAAATACAGAACACGCACATTTTGGTATTTTTAAATAAGAAAAAAAAAAAAAATTAAATATCTGCATTCAAATTGGACAACAATCATGGCTTGACTATAGTGCTTGCACTCTTAAAAGATACCAAAAATTTTTAGGCTTAAAATCAGGAATCTGAATGGACTGATGGCTTTTGGAGAAAATGGTTCATTGTCACATTAGAAGGTCTACTGCTGCCTCTCGAGGTAGCCCTCAATCCAGAATATGCAATTGCTGGTCTCTCCTCTAGTACTGAACCTGCCCCTGGCAGAGGAAATCAAGGGAGCGGTGTTAAGTAGAGAAGATCTTAGGGAGCTCTTTAGTACGTGTTTAATAAACCATCAGTGGTTTAACTGGGCTCAGTGAATAGCTTGGTGTCGATGTGCTTGCACCATCTATTTTAAATGTAATTTTCAGAAATCCACACTTTTCTGCTGGGAAAACTTTTAACTTGTCCAGATTGTTTTAATTCCCCAGATTTCTGAGACCATGAAACAAGCGTGCCTCCAGAGGGCTGTGCAGCATCGCCAGGCTGTGGCGATGTATTTCTGAACTCGTACAGCTCGGCTGCTTAGAAGTTAGAGCCTTCTCTCAGTTTGCAGGTGGGTCTGCACAGCATGGAGCTGTTAAACCAGAGCTGTTGTCCATAGTTCGTGCTCCAAGTGCGTGAGCCTGTGCCTGCTGCAGCTGCTGCCGTGTGCTGTATTTACAGCTCAGGTTCCCGTTCTCCACTCTGATTCCTGTTGTGGCACATTGAGGAAACTGAGCAGAAGAAACTTTTTGACAGTACTTGAGCACAAATTTTATCTAATACCTTTTTTTTTTTTTTTATCTGGGCTCAAAACAAACACAATCAAAACAATTCACCTTGCAGGACAAAACCTTATTACTTCTGTTGTCTGTGGTCAAAAATCTTTTGTCAAGGGCTCGTTTTTGCATCCCCTGGGCAATACAGAAGCAAGGACCACATGAGATAGCCTTGCACACTACACAAGCTCACTCGTAATTCTGTGCTCCCTATGTCTTTGAGGTGACGGCTGCTCCTGTACCACAGTGAGGGTTCCCATGGGAGACCTGTACACAGATATCTGTGTACATAGTTATCTGTGCCAGAACCTGATGAGCACAAACACCTGGGCAAGCAATTTGAAAGGGTTAAACCCTTCTTTTTCCCTCTTTGCAATAAGCAAGGCTGCAAGCCATGAACTATCAATGATACAGATAAAAGCTTAGCACAAAAACAGAGGTGGGAGACAAAGAAAGGTGTGGTGCATCTTAAACCCATCCGAAACTAGAGATCTTCAGCACTTAAAAAATGCATAAAGCATTCCTAGTGTGTGGAAAGCACTGGGCCAGGGACAGAACCTCTCTGCTGGGGGCAAGAGACCAAGAGCTTCATTACTTTCCAAGCAGACCAGCTCCCTGTTGCCCCAGGGGCTCTCCCCAGCAGCCGTTGACGCTGTCATCCAGAGGATGTAATTCTCACCGCGTTGTAGGTTTGTGATGTAAAATTCGCGTTGGGAAGTTGCATTAGAAATGGCTGAAAGGAAGAGAGGGAGAAGAAAATGAAGCATCTAGCACTCATTTTTACTGTGTTTAACGCTAAAGAATGGGATTTCCAGACCTTGGAGCACGGAGAAGCTGTTTGTGAACAGCTGTAGCAGAGCTCTGCATCTGAATCCTGCTGTTAAACCTCACTACAGAGTGTCTCTGTGACTCCTCAGCCATACAGAGCTGTCTGAAGGCATCTCTCCCCCCACCCCTCTCCCCTCAATGCACAGCACGTGCACACCACGTCGTTTTTCACCAGACACCTACCGTAGACAGCCGGAGCTCCCTCGCTGTCCTTTTTTCGCAGGTATATGTTGTACGCCGTGATGCAGCCCATTTGCTGGTGGGAAGGGATGTCCTCCCACGAAACCAAGACACCATTTGTCTGTGGCGTTGTGTATATCTGGGGCCCAGCTGATGGTGCTACAAAATACAAGACTGACTTTTAAAGCTGAACGATTTAAGCTGGCTTAACAATCTCTGGAAGGGTATTACCGCGATTTACCTTTTTCTCTCGAGTATCCCCTGACTGATGCCACTCGTCCAGCTCTGTCCTGATAAAGTGCAAATACACTGATGTCGTAGCACACGTTATCTTTTATGTGTTCTAAAAAAAATAAAAATAAAAATAAAAATAAAAATAAAAATAAAGAGGATAATTACCCAAATAAAGTATTTACAGTCATGGCTAAATATTTTCATTACCCGCTCAGAGCTGAGATGAACTGTCTCATTTATTACAGATCTTTCATAAAGTAAGAAAAAAAAATGCATCATGGTCTCCTATTTAGCTTGGCACAACCTTAACGTGTATTAAAAAGCCATACTGACACTCCTCAAGGGTGAAACCCTTTGCTGTTTCATGAAGCAGTGGCTGACAGAAGACCTGGATCCTCCAAAGAAAACCCTGGACCACGTTTTGTGCTCAAGGTAAGCAGAGGAGGAAAGTGGCTCTTACACAGCTTATTACTCTACAATATGCCATAGAGGGTTTTGCTGTGTGTAAGGTCGCCAAGGAGGCACACAAACCTAACAACCTTTCTTCCTCATGACTTCATATGAACATCCTTCCCCCAAAACGTTTAATAGGGGGGTTATGAATGAGTGACAGTAATTAATTTTTCTATTTTTCAAAACAGACTACAAAGTAATAGCATGAACTTGCTGGTTTTGTTGTTGTTGTTTTGTGTTTTTTTTTTGTTTTTTTTTTTTTCCAGTTGCTCCAGAGCAGGGATTTAAAATCCAGGGAGGCACAACACCAGGATGGAAAATGGGAAATCCTAACTAGAACAACACTGGCTGTCACTCTGTAACTTCACAGCTATAGCTGATATAAAGAATACAGCTGCTGGTTTGGATGAGTAGCAAATAACTGCTACAATGGAAATACTGTTAAGTCTTTCATCTTGTGTTCCAGCTGAGTTTTAAATGTCTTATTTCATTTCAGAAGGACTGATTTTTATTTTTTTTTTGAGGCATTCTACTTACAAGGTATAAATCTCAGTTGAGGGACTCGCTGAGTCGAACTCCAAGCAACCATTGACTTTTTTTCTTCCTATACAGAAAGCTTTAAATACCGTAATTTCTTATGCTGAATTAGTAAAAATTAGAACCTGACTTGTTTCCTAAACAGTTTTCAAAATAAAATGGCACTTCAGCACTGTCCTATCTCTGTGTGGCAGTTACCTGATATCACTGTAGACAGGTTGGATGCTACGAGCTTTACCCAGGTCAGAGGAGGTGCGAGGCTCTTCTTCCTGTGTGTGTCCATCCATTCCACTACGTAGCCATTGATGAATGCAGTGAATTTTTTGGGAGGTTTCCAGCTGACAAAGATGCTGCCATTTCCCATCGGGAGAGCGGAAACTTTCTGAGGAGGAGGTAAATCTTACATGGAAGAAAGAACAACCAAACAAAAACCACACCATCAGCACAAACTGCCTTAACCAGGTGGACTTGAGAAGTTTGCTACGTGTTTTACTGTGTTTCATCCAGTTTGATGCTATGCAGTGTATGAAAATAAACTAAAATTGGAAGAAAAGGTCGTGATTACCAGGGTGAAATCTGCCTGTGCTGGCAGGAATACAGCCATAGCCTTACCTTGCCTCATGGTGTGGTGGTCTGAACATACACAGCATTGTTTCTGCCACCCCCAAGCCCTAGAAAGATCCCATCACAGCACCCAGTAACAGCCCTGCTCCTGCCTTACAACCACAAACATGCAAGATTCCCACAAGACCAAAGTTCTTCCTTCCACAGACAGGCCCAGGAGAAAATGTGGGGAAAGTCCCCAGTTTTTCAAAACACCAACATCTTTTCTGAATGTGTTTTTTTTTTTGGTAACAAACACAATTGGACTGAGCCTGCAAAACAGTCCTTGCCTTACTACCTCCATGAAATTATACGCAGTTCTATTTCTGCTGTGATTTCCCCTCACCATCACTCTCCCTGCAGTTCTGCCCTCTCCCCTGATTTTTATTTTTATCTTATTTAATTTTGCATAGTTCCCTTGCTGCTGTGTCAGCCTGCCTAGCTTACAGGGAGGCTTCCACCCGTGGCAGCAGAAGGAGTTACAATTACAGCTGGCCTAATTCAGGGCAACTCGACTTGTCACGAACCTGCACCCTTGCCCTTGACAATATTTGTAACTGGATCTAACTCCAGCCACTGCAGATTCACTGAGATCAACCCTAAGGAGCACAAAGTGGCAGGATTTGGATGCTTCTGTGGCACGAATATTATTTCCCGTGGCTCAGCCCCTTACCCCCGATGCCTAGGTCAGTGATGATGACTGCAGGCGGTGAGCTTCCCCTCGAGTTGTCAGCAGTGACTGTTATCCTGTAGTCCAGCTTCGCAGTGGTTCTGGTGTAACTGGTCTGTGTGGTAACCTCTGCTTCGGGACCGCCGCAATTTAGTGCTTCAAAGGTCACCGTGTACTGCAGGATTCTGCCTTTTGCTTCTGACTTGCTCAGAGCCTGAAAAGAAAACACAGTTCTTAGCATTGACAGGACCAAGGACTGGGAGACGGGGGAATAATAAATAATAATAAAATATTAAAATAATAATAAAAACCTAATAACAACCAACATTCAGTGCATTGCAAACACCCTTTGATTGTACCAAACCGAGGAGCTGCCTGGGAAGGTTTCAGAACTGCCCCAGGCACTGGTTTGGCTCCCTGTTCTTCCTTTCCAAGAAACACTACATCCAAAGTAACATTTCACCACCTCCTGGGAGCCGGTGATCATAATTAGAAGATCAGACAGATCCCTTGCCTTGTGCAGGCTATCAGCCTGCTATCAGCCCTCCAAAAAAAAGCCTTTTTCTGGATCTCCAGATCTCCTGCCCTGTGGCAGATGGTGGCTTCAGGGCTTCTCCCCAGTTCAGATGCTCAGGGTACCCAGTGTAAGTCAGGAGCTTTCACCTGGAGGAAATTTTTTATTCCTCCCTTTTTGCTCTAACACAGAAGAGGCTGGTTACAGTGACAATGTGACTGGCTGGACAACAGCAAATTCCAGCTAATGTTCTTAGTAACAGACGAGCAGTTTTTACTATTTTCTTTTCTAAAAGCAAGAGGAAACATGGCATGGCACTGCTAGAGGGATTGCTCGGTCATCTTGTTGAGACTGCTTTTTTTTTTTTTTTTTTTTTATTTGTCACGTTGGGTGTTCTTCATACCAGATTGCTGGGTTTGTTTTTTTTTGAAGCAAAAGTGTAACTGAGTTAATTCCCTGATTATAGGGACAAGAGCACACATTTTACCTGAAATTCTCTCTTAAGGTTACATATCTTTCTTTTTATTTCCTATTTATTTATATATTCCTGTGTAAGTCCAGTTCAGTGAAGCTCTTTAGCTGGTGACCTGCTGCCCTTCCGAACAGAAACATCACCAGGGGCAGTGCAAGATACCGATCTCTGTTTCTTCAGATTGAAGTCACACTTCTCACAAGGGGAAAAAGAGCACTGACTGCATAGCTAGATATGTAAAAATGAGCAAGTTTTGATTTCGGTGAAATCTAGAATTTTGATAAAAGCCACAATGAGATAAAGAACTATTTAAACGCAACCACTTAAATACACATCGCTTTGAAGAGTCAGTCTATACTGTCACTTGTAACACTTATGGTGCTGTTTTTTCCACTCTGGGTGACTGAGCGCACTCTTCATACTATCAGTTTCACAGTTTCCTACAGTTCCTACGTACTTAGTTAATTTGTTTGGCTGTTTGGGTTTTTGTTGATTTTTTTTTTTTTTTTTGGTCATAACAAAACAAAACCAAACAAAAGGAAGTGGGGAAAAAACCCTTAAAAATAGGAAAATGTTTGCAGTTTTACAAACACTTTGGCAGTGTCTCAGGACAAATGCAGTGTCTGAACCTATTCTGAAAACCTTCTGAAACCCTTATGAAACTAAACTGGCACTAGTTTCCTTGGTATTAATTAATGGGAAAACACGAAAACATACACTGGTAATACATTGTACTATCTTCTGCCTTGGATCTGTTCTGAAAACTATAAAAACAACGTTATCACACCCATTTTATGAATGATACTACAGGAAGTCTGTGTAGATAAAGAAAGTGTTGCCAGCACTCCACTGCAAGGTAAACATCTTAAAGCCACAAAGTCAAATAATTACCCGAGAATTGCTGCTTTCACTTACAGTGCAGTACTACTTGTTGTGGAGAGGAGATATAGCATTTGGAAGATTAACTACAGATTGAAAACTGCAAGTCAAAGAAAATGTAAGCTTAAAATATATATATATCTTAATGGGTTTGAAAAAAACACTGCAACAAACACCCCACAATCTGAACACCCCTCCTAAGACCTGACTTCTTAGTGCTGTGTTGGTTAAGACTGGAGAAAGTGAGTTACTGAGCACCTTGGATGACACCTTTCTGCATCAAGTTCCACAGAAAGGATGCAATAAGGAGCCTGTAAAGCCAAGCCACGCGTTTTTATTTATGGCTGGCTGCCTTGCTTCCCTCTGTTAATGTGGTCCCTGAGGTCAGAATCTGAAGCACGATGTGGGAGAGACGTCACTGCCAGCTCCTTGCTGCCTGAAGACAAACTTTCACTGAGCATGTTGTTAGGAAAGAGCCCAAATTGTATAGTAATGTGGAATTTTTAATCCGCAGGTTATTCAATTGAGTTTTAATCTGAATTCTTTTGAAGCTACTTTCCATTTGAGACATCATAATTTCCTTTGTAGGGCCTCAGCCACCAGCCCTCCAGCTTACTGAGCAGACCCAAACAACCAAATATTTTCTGCCCCTTGTATACGAAAATACTTGCACTGAGTTTGTCCAGTTTCAGATTTGCAGCTTTATTATTAGCCAACTGTTTTGCATGTGGCTTGCCTGTTGCTTGTTTCACACCTGTACAGAAAAATAGTTTAAAGGGACATTCTAGACAGAAAAAGATTTGATTAAATCTTGGTGAGGAAAGCCTCGGGTAGCAGAGTTATTCTATATCTCTGGACAAAGCAGTGGTAAGAGCCCTGTGCTCTGTCTGGTTAAACACCCTTCCAGCAAATATGTAAAGTAGAGTTCACCCTCCAAAGTTGCTGATTATTACTGTATATGCTCTAGTTTTACCTAAATGTCTTACCTTCCAAAAAAGAGAAATGTTCTGCGTTTGAGAGTCCACATCCTGCATTTTGTACCAGACATCTAAGAGACCAGTGGGCACTGGATGTCAAAGAAAAAAGGGAGCAGAATTAATGACTGTATTTTGAAGCAAACAAACAAGACATTGAATAGGCTGCATAGGTAAAAATCCTGAAATGACTAAAATTTAGGATTTAAAATCTCTCTGAAATGATGTAACGTGCTGTGGCCTTTAAGGTATGATCTTGTATTTTAAGTCTATATTTGCTCTTCCAGCTGGAGCTCAGCTGCCGTGATGACTGCAGTCACACAGAGACCAAACCACAAGAATAAGAGAGGGTTATGCTCTTCCAGGCACTATTTTGCACTCTGTAGTCACTGACTTTCACGGAAGCCTATAAATCACAGTGACAGTACGAGTTCTGACCTTTGCATAGAAGTTGGGCTAATGCAGGTCCTTAGGGCTGGCTATATCAATTCTAAAACAACGGACAGCTTAAGGTGATAGGAATTTTGTGTACCCGCTCCTTGCTATCTAGATCTGGGCAATAAATGTCTTTAACAGCTAGTTGGGTAGGACCTTGTCCAACGTAGTTTTAAAGCCCGGTTCTTTCCAAGATTTTCATTATGTTTACAGAATTAACATTTAGTAGTCAAAACACCGAGCAGAATCACAGCCAGTCCTGGGAAGATGCTTCCGGAAAACCCTTGGTGTTTAGACTGCTTGATACTCATTCAACTTTACCGTTTTGAGTAAATCTTCCAAAATAACACTGAAGCAAACTTCTCGCTGCAAAAGCTGGTGAACAGTGTGCTCAAACAGTTCAGAATCAGATAAAGATATACAAAGAAAGCCAGTGTGATAAAAGATAATAAAGCTTGGTTCCTCAAGGTCCCGGCACACAATAAACTAATAAAATTACAATAATAAGTGTCACGGATAACATAAGCAGCAGGCAGTTGATGCCCAACCCCACCTAGAATGGGACTAGGGTTGTCTGTTACTTACTAAATTCAAGGACAGAAAAAATCCTCAACACCAGCAACGTTAAGAACCATCAATCCTGTATCCACTGCACATAGCGACAGGAATAGAGAAAAGAAACAGGACCCACAGAAGAAATAAAATCCGAATGCACTCCCTGTGAGCGAGGGAGGAAGCGGCGAGCTCAAAGCAGGAAAAAAAAATAAATCAGATTGCCTCTGTTGGACTCCAGCCCAGATTTTAAGGTTCATTTCACATGTGAACTATATAAGTTAGCTAGAAAAAAATGCTCACTTTAGAACAGTGCTCGCATAAAGCAAGTTTTTGTGGCAGCTCAGGCCTGGTGAAACGTGGAAAAAAAAAAAAAGAAAGGAAAAAAAAAAGCACCTTAAAAAGGTATACTCCTGAATTTGTTAAATTTGTAAAATTCTGGAGTAGAACTTCAACTTCTTTGGAGAAGAGTAACCATTGTGCAGACAGAGCTCGTCACCTCACCTTGCTAACACTTAGTCTGATGTCAGAAGACATTGATTAGTTGGAAATATTCTTGTTTTACAGCACGGGCTGGGGAGGAGGAATGCTGACCACAAGTACCATAGCAACCCAGACTGCATCAGGAAAGTAAGAAAACTGTTGAGAGGAAGGTGGGGGAGGGAAGGAAAAGTTCACACCTTCTGCATCAATCAATGCTTCTTACAGAAACTGATGCTGTCAGTAGTGGTAAACAGCATGAGTAATAACTGCAGGAGCCTGAAGGTCTTATAGTAATTGACAAAAAAAGGAGCAACGAAAGCCAAGTACAGTATGAAAGGAGAGAATGCCAAAGCAGCCAACACATCTTTGTTAAAGCACAGACTTCTGAGAAGCTTTCTTCTTTCATCAGAACTGACAGTTCTGCAGCCTGTGACTTCGTACAGCTCAGTGGGAAGTCAAGCAAGCACATACAGGAGCCTGCAGCACCGCCAAGACCTCTAGTGTTAGAGCTGGTACAAACTAACACAATTGGCCTCAAATTTGCGCTGTGTGTTCCCTGGAATCTGCTGTGCAGTCCTGTGGAGCAAGAAACATCATCTGCTCACGTTGCAATTAATTTGGGGACTGCTCTCCGGAATGTGGCCAGGTTAAAACCATTCGGATCTCCAATGACTCCACTCCTTAGTGGAGGGAGCGACCTGGGAGTTCTCCAAAGGAAATATTTTCTTTACTTGGAGAAAGATGAATTGGAAAAATCAAACCTTTTTGTTAAAACCTCCCTCAGGTCTGTTGAAGCTGACAGAACATGCAGTGTCCTGGCCGATTCGTTCAGCTCCTCAGCAAATTGTCAAGTGAGCTCAAGAACCCAGAGAGTGCTCCCCAAACCTGAGGTTCCTTAGTGACTGAGGGCCACTTGGCAGCCATCCTGACTTTTGTATGCTATTATTGTAGAAATTCAGTAAAATGCTTAAATATGACCAATACAAAACGTTTTCCTTTTTCCATTTAAGCTGCACAAACTTTCTCTGACTTTTCCAGATGTGCAGGAATGCAGGAGGCTGCTGCTAAGGCTTCAGGCAACACGGAGAGAAATTCTCCAACTTCCAGCAATGTCAAAAGAATAAATCCTTCAGAATTTCTCAATGAGCTCTTGAAATTCCTTTTTCATTAGAAACTTAAACAGTTTACTTGTTTGTTCATGAGGAAGGCCGTTCTGTTACACAAATTCACTTCTCTGTTAGCTTTGTTTCTGGATTTACAGAGCATCTAACCAGGACTGAAAACCAAGCAGCATTTTGAATTCATTACCTAAAATTTACACTTCTGTGCACACTTTACAGACACGCATAGTGTACCAAGCCACATATTGTGTTACCTGCTTCTGGAGTCTGGGTTTGGAAAGTGCTCCAGTTACTCCACAGTCCCCTCTCAGGATGAATTTTACAGCTAACCTGGAATTCGTATTCTGTATGAGGCTCCAGACCATAAAGACTGAAATTTTCACTATTGACGTTTTCAACCTTTAATGGAGATAAATGACATATAACGTTAAACTTGCAAAGAAATAAAGTTGATAAATATTCTGTTTGTGTATTTTACTCAACTTCAAGCAATGAATTCAGCATTTAAAATAAATACAAAGACTTCCAGCCAGCATTAGATAAGGCCCAAGCATTTGTAAATTGAATACCCATAGCCATGAGCTACACTGGGCAGATACGACCACATTTTGGTAAAGTAGTGTGCCAAACATAGGCTCTGATTCTTCGGTGCCTCATACTTGACATAAGGGGAACTATTCATGCCTGCAGATTTTTACAGGATGAGAGTTTTACTTTCTTTCAGTTTTAGACCAATGATGGAGGTTTTGATTAGTAGTCAATAGTTTTTCTTAAATATGATGCTAGAGAGCAGAGAGAGGCCAATTTGGAAAAACTGACTCCAAAAAGAAACAAGGATATTAAAGCAACCTCCAAGGATTACAACTTCCTCCATTCTCCAACAAAGGATTACCGTGTTCCAGGCATAACCAGTAAGCGGACGGTATCTTATTCGACAGTGCTGTGCTCGAACTTCATCGTGCCAAACAAATGAGAAATTTGTCACAGAATTTTCAAATTCCACCAACAATCTCGGAGGATGTGGTTTCACTAGAGGCAAAAAAACACAAAAACAAGAAAATGGCACTCAGGCATGCCTCACAACTGGAGGGTTAATGGAAAATAGAATAACAAGTTGAGACTGGATGGATAACTTCTTCTGACAGGTTTAAGCAACAAAGGCACAGTGCTCAAACTGTTTTCACTTTGCTCTAACTGAACGAAGGTAAGTAATACATTTACCTATGTCTACCAACATGAACATGAGTGGCTGTGAAAAAGCACTTCCTAGTTCGTTGGAGGCGGCAACCACAACTGTGTAAGTGGAGTCAAAATTCAACTTCTTGCTCAGAACCAGCGAGCCAAATTTATTACTCAGATTTTCTTCTAGAAAACAGAAGATGTCAGTGCCATCTGACAGCCTAGAAAAGAACAAATCCTCTCGGTTAACACTTCCCTGTGAAAGTTAAATCCCTGAGTTCACAGAGGTATAGCACACATCTCTACCCAATTGTGCTGGTTCGGATCTGCTGAGACTGTGACTCTTTGAACAATTTAAATGATTAAGTTTAATTGGTGATTAAATATTTAATTTATCTGTAGTTTAATGGTCAGATGTATGGCTTCAAACACGACTTTTCATTCTCAATCTGTCATTCAACCCGTTGTAAAGGTAACTCCTTTAGCTTCTCCATGTACTTTCCTCCATCTGAATCAGAGATGATTCTATCACATTGCTTCGGGCTGATCTGTCTCATTTTATAATACACTTAATAAATTTCTAGCAAGCACTGCTGTATTTCTATGTGCCATTGCAACACTTACAGGACTCATCCTTCCCTCCTCTTCTGGGAATTAACCATCTAGCGTCCTTCTGCTTAAAGAGCAATGATGAGTTTCTATAAATGCTGCTCCTACTTTGGCCAAGAGAAGCAGGTAATAGTGAGCTTAGCAGGACAAGGAGATGGTCACATACAGTACCTCCAAAAATAAAGAGGCAGTAGTTCAGTCTGTCCAGCTGATTGCAAGCGTCACATTAATTCTTTCTACCCACACACTTGCTTGAATAGAGCTTTTCTGTTGCAGGCATTGCTAATCACATAATCACTAAATAGAGAAAATCCACTGCAGGAGAACAGCGGGTGTAAGCTGCCGTTTTAAGACTACTCCCACTATTAACAATCTCTTTCAAAAACAGGAGCCATGACTTGGCTTATTCTCTTTACCCACTTAACCCAGAAGTGAGTAAACCACTGCTGTGCAGCACACACAAATGTAAACAGGAAAGGTTTTTTTCAGCAGAGAGAGTTAATGGCAGCCTTGGACCGATCGATTCATAAAGCTACTCTTGTGTGATTTGCTAAAAAGGTTGGATCTGTACCAAACAGTGCAAAAATAAAATAAAAAAAAACTCTAAGTTATTATTACAGGTATTAAAGTGCCTACTCCCCCATGTTACTTACTGTATTACGTATGTAGTGTTTATGTATGTAAGCCTTCCTTTATCCCAGGTGCAGGTAGGACTGCCATCTGTCCCATACTGGATACATGACACGTTTCTTGGCTGATCTGGAGGATCTTAAACAGATATTCTTATCAGTTTCTTCCTTAAAATTGTTGAGAGGAGAAATATGAAGAAATGCTGGGGTGTGGTTTTGTTTGCTTGTTTTTTAAAGACAAGCGATTAAGTGCAAAGTATTCAGAGGTCGCTAAATGTGAAAATAGCCAAATCTATCATGCAGTCTCTTGAGAGCAAACCCGCAGTGAACTTGCAAGGATACCAAATGAATACAAGTGCTGAACAACTATCAGTCTGGGCACCCCAAGCTTTGCTTGAAGCAGTCAACCATTATTCCTTATATTAAAAAAAAAAAAAAAAAAGGCACCAAAGCACTCATACAGAAGATGACTACTGCTGCAGCAGTTGCTCTTCTATGGCAAGAAGAAAATCTAATATTTGCTTAGAATTATTCTCGCAAGTCTCCTGTGTCCTGAAGAGCCTGGTGTGTTTCAAGCATAGCACGGGAGAGAGTGAGCATTATTCTGCTTGCTCTGAACAAGCAGTTTCATTCAGCACCTCTCGTTTTTTCAATTACTGGAACTCCTTCGTTCCACAATAGTAAATGAGGAAGTTGGGTAGCATTTAAGTGCCACTACACGTGAAGCAGCACATTCGCTTTTTCAGAGGTTGCACAGTGATACACAGTGGGTGCAGAGGGCCAGACATGAACGCAGAGCCCTCCAGATCCCAACATCCATGGGGGTGGCTGGGAATCCGGGTGTGGAAGCCCCCTTTTGTTGCATAGTTCCAGCCAGCAATATTTTAGATGCAAAGCCAATAAAACACAGCACCCTTCCTGGAAAAGGCCACCCACATACTAGGTCTTAACATAAGTCTCAGAGGAATCCCAGAAAATGTTTAAGAACAAGAAATAACAAAATTCTCCTTACTTCCAGACATTATATCGACTCCACAAATGAGTTTTTTCTTGTATTCACAAACTATTTTGCAAGTAAACATGTGCTTGCCATATGTCAGGACTTGAAATTTGGTGCTCACGGAAGTGCCGTAATTAATAATTAGTTCGGAACTGTTAAAGAAAATAGCTATCTTGCACTGCTCGTTGTATTTCAGTTGTTTCAGCTGGCACGAGAGGGTAATGTTAGTTCCAGGCTGGACATGTGAAGCAGAGTTAGCAGTCATATTTCCTTTGTCGCATATTTCTGCGACCCCGTGGGGAGGTTTGTTAGCAGTCACGTTTCCTTTACTGCACGCTTCTGCAACAAAATAGGGAAAAAAAACGTTAAAATGAATACATCATTCAGTCTGTAAAGCATGCTGCCCTCTAGGAAGAGGGTCTTCCCAAATTTTTAATGTAAGAATTCCTGTCTTTGCATATGTAACTCATAATATATTGTTGTGCACAGTCTTCACTGATCCGATTACCTGGAGATCAGAAACCAAAGCCTCGCTACCAGTTACTGTACGAAAAAGCACAACCCGAGACAAAATCTACCAATCCAATCTGTTTTCTCACTGCTGAGAGAAAAAACTAAGTAGCAAGAGTGCTTCTTTTAAGTGATAATTTATATATATATATATATATATATATATATAAAGCCTTACCTGCTGTGAAGTGCATCAACAAACAAATTGCTGCAGGCACAATCCATGCAAATAACATTTTGCTTCCTACAGAGAAATGAGTACCTTTTACCTGTTCCTAAAAAGTGAAAAAATCGTTTTAAAATATTGGTAGTATTTTTTAACTTCACAAAACTCAAAATGCTTATTTTATGGGTCCTCTCTAATTAACTGTCTCTGCTGACATCGCGCAGTGACTCTCAAGATGCTGTCCTGTGCAGCTGCTGATTTTCAGCCTGGTTCTCCCTAGAGACAGGCTCAATAGCTAGAGGAATGTCAGAACTGCAGGTACTTTACAACTCTGCGCTTTCAAAACAGACATTCTTGCTCTCTTCCTTCCCAAAGATGCCCTGCAAGCCCAGAACCAAAAATCTTATTGTGATATGCACCCAGAGCAGACCCTAAGTACCCCTAGTGCAAAGGATGAAGATTTCCCTTTTGCATTTCTGCTCTCACACCTCCTGCCTTCCACTTTTGTGCAGAAGTGAATAGATCCCAAAATTTTAAAGTAAACTTCCCCAGCTCCTTGCAGCTGCCTAACAGCCAAAATTTGGCAGGGCCTTCAGCAGAAAGAACACATCATACCAGGGAGGTTTGAACACCCAGTACATAGAAACAGCAACTCTCAAGCTTCTTAATTCTCTCCTGGGGATCCTCACAGACATTTACATGATGCCCCCTCACCTTCCACCCCCTGCAGCTTCTCGGGGGGTAAGAACATGTGCTATTTCTCCCCAAGACAACGTTTTAACATGCCAAATCCAGAGCAGAAGAGATGTGGTAGAAACGCCTGGTGCTTCCCAGCGCCCAGCCCGGACACTTGGCTCACCTCTCACATCTCCGCAGGGGCAGGCAGCCGTGGCACGCATTTGGAGGCAGCAGCCTAGCGCTGTGGGAACACCAGGGAGAGGGAGTTAAGGACAAGTTAATGAACAGTGAGGAGCGACTAAGGGCGTCTGCTAGGCAGGAAAACCCGACTGTCAGTCTGGAGTCAGATACGACGTCCACTGCTGCAGGTGAGGGATGCAGCAGCCCCATTACCAAAAACATTTCAGCAGACCCGCGCCCAGACTTCCCAGGGATGCCCCCAAACCCAAAGGAGTTGATTTCCCCAAAGCCAAAGGAGTTGATTTCATGCCGGGTGACTAACACAGACTGAAGATTCCCAGAGCTGAAGCATCGTGCATTAAATGTCGGATGTGACTTTGGGAACTAGCAACCTTGTAATTCCTTTAGATGAGTTTCCAAAGTGAAAAACATCACACCCAGCTTATTTATGAACATTTAACTCTACCCTAACAAAAAATAAAAACAAAAAAATGCAGACATAGGTAGTGAGCACGTTGTTAAGGATAAACCAAACAACACAGAGCTTTTGAGATGTTTTTATCAGCATTCACAACTGTTTCCTTTTTTTTCTCGCAGAAGCGAGAGCGCCTCAGGTCCTTCGGCACAGCACACACCAGTGACCATTTTCCATAGCCTCTGACCCGCCGCAGAGACGCAGCTATTTTAACAGCCTGATGTCATATTTCAAGCAAACCACTGCAAAGCGAAACTTCACAGCCTGATCACCCCTCTTGCTACTGCGGAGGGGCACTTACAGGGGACGCATCGATAATATAACGTTTGGTACGTGTATTAATGCATAAAAAAGTTATTTCGGGTTGGTTTTGTGTAACGAGACAGGAGCCATCCCACATTTGTTTAAGAAAATGAACTCTCATATGATGGGAAATATAAAATAATTGTCCAAAATGCATAAACACCGTGCTTTTTGTTTAAATCCAGGGGTTCTTCAGCCCAAAATGCTGCAGCGCCCCAGCCCTAGCGGTGCACGTAACGCCCAGGTCTGTAGGTGCTCGGGATGAGCAATCGCAGCGCCCGAGGTCTTCAAGTAAATGCCCTGCTTTCCAAAAAACTGAAATCGCCCCGGCGCTGTAAACATCCTCAGGCAGCACAACTGTACCCCAAACACCTGAGTCACCACACAAAAGCGGGGTTTCTTCAAGTAATTTCAGGCGCTGGCTCGCCGGGCGGGCGCTGGATAACTCAAGGCAGCATCAAAAGAGAGCAGCCAGCCGTCTGAAGCACGACAGGAGCAAAAGAGGAGGGAAAGAAGGAGAAATAGGCTTTTGCTTGGACTAAAGATACACGGCAAGCTTTTGTAAAATAATAAAAAAAAAAATTAAAAAAAAAAAATGAAAGAAAAGAAAAGAAAAGAAAGAAAAAAAAAAAAAAGAAAAAAAAAAGAAAAAAAAAAGAAAAAAGAAGAAAAAAAAAAAAAGAAAATCCCCAGATTCCACGCCGGTGTGGGAAAAAAGAGAGAAAATGTCTTGCTGAGCAGCACACGAGGGGCACAGCCCGTGTGTGCGGGAGCCCCGGGGGCTGCCCGGGTGTCGCTGCGTGCGGGGGGGCTGAGCACCGCCTCTGCCCCTCACAACAAAGCCCTCACGCTTCAGCACGGCGGCTGCCGGAGCACGGCGGCTCCCCCCCTGCCTTCAGCCGGCTTGTAGGAACCGGGGATGCCCCCCCAAAAAAGCTCCGGAGCCACCCGGAGCCGCCCGCCCGCCCGCCCCGTCGGGGGTACTCACCGGGCGGCCGCGCCGCTCGTCTCAGCCCGCAGCCTCCGGGAGCCTCCCGCATGTGCACGGCGGCTCCGGCCCGCCCCGGCCCGGCCCGTTCCGCCTCCCCTCAGCGCCGATCGGCTCCGCCCGGCCCCGGGCTCACCCTCCCGGGGGTCCCGGTGGGGTCCCGGGTGCCGGCCGGGGCTGAGAGCTCGGGGCTGGACGGGGCCGGGGGCGGCCGAGGGGGGAGATGAAGAGGTAAGAAGGAGGTTTGCTGAAAGAGGCTGGCTCAGAAGTTAGCTCTACTCACAGATTCCCTCCCCCTCCCCTCCTTCCCAGCCCCCGTTTTTCTCTCAGGGAAGGCAAGGCACAGGAAATTTCAATTACAGAAAGCCTAGGTATGAGAAAAGGGTGAAGATTACCAGAATAAAAAAAAAAAGAAAAAAGAAAAAGAAAGAAAGAAAAAAGCCTGTGAAACCCAAAGTATAACTCTCACTACCTGCTGGTAGACTGCAACGAGAAGTGCTCAGGCAACCGCAGCGCAAGACAGAGGAGCCTGTCCTCAGGTGCAGCCTCTGCTCCTCTGCACCCCCGTGGTTATTTCAGCACGGGTCCATGCTGCCTTTCCCAATTTTTCAATCAGCCCGCTGGTGGACTGCCACCATATCTGAAAGAGCTCATCATTAACAAGGTCCCCGTTAACTATTGTCCCTCCTCTTTGTTAGGCGTCGATAACAAACTCAGCCTTCCCGGCAGAGTTTGCTTCATAGTAATTTTTACTAGCTTGAGTATTGAAGCAAAGGTGTTTTGGGGACTGACATCCAAACAAACGATTATAGGAAGCATTAAGTTGTAGAGTCCAGAGTCTTTGAGCTTGAACCCCTAGTACACTTTGTCTCTCTTCCAAATCCCTGTATAACATTAGCACTTTTTTTCTAGACAGAAGAAAGTGCTGACGAAGTTCACAGAAATACTATGCACGCACTGTGCAAGTCTGTACCCTGTGAAACTCCAAATATCACCAGTTTCCTTTTAAGTATATAACTTATTTCCCCTCTGTCTTTTTTTAGTTTACACTTTTTACAACACTTCTTCCCAGCACGCGCTTCATCTACAGCCTGTAAAGCCAGGATTCGTGTCATTTTAACATAGGACTCCAAGAGGATTTCATATGAAGTCTCATCTCTGGTACCCTGTCCATTGCTCCCCCTCTCTGGGTGTATTTGCTTTTCATTTTTTGAAAAAAAATTACGCAGCCGTTACATGAGGTGCTCAACTGGCACTAGCAAAACTTGAGTAGCATTTTACTCATCAATGAGGCGTTTAAGGGAAGGTGCCCGTCAGGTGGCCCGAGTGATCAGAATTTTGCCTCGTGATGACGGGAAACTAAACTGAAAACACCGATCCAGTGCCTATCATAAGGTGCAGCTACTTTCTTTTTTTCTTTCTTTTTGCCTAAGGCTTAACACCAAAGTCTGCTTTTTCATGTGATTCCTTCTCATTGAGCTGTGTCGAAATAGCGCGTGTGTTCCCAAGAACTGTCACGGAACAGCTTTGATACTCCAGATGTTTTATAAACCCTCTGCTATTCTACCAGGCTTTGAAGCAAAATATTTGCTAAGTATTATTCTTATTTCGAATGCTACTGCATTCCAGAAATGGATTGAAAATGGTTTTTGCTGCCAGCCATGCGGACTAGCCCAGTACGTTGTGTGCTGGGTGTTCCTTCGAGGCGACGGAGCAAGGCTCTGTCTTACAGGCCGAGCCCAAGGTAATTCTGTGTTGCCTCCCACAAATCTGAGTAAAGGCTTGGTGCTGCACAGGCAAACACTGAGAACTTCAGGATCATAAAGAAAACAGCGTGCTCCCTGCAGCCAGATGTCCCACCGAGGCCTTCATCCAGGGCTTGGCTGCACGGAAGGAGCAGGAGGACAAGGCCTGGAGAAGAGGAGGCTCAGGAGGCTCAGGGGCGACCTTATCTTTATCTAGCTTAGGGATATGGTTTAGTGGGGACTGTTAGTGTTAGGTTAGAGGTTGGACTCGATGATCTTGAGGTCTCTTCCAACCTAGAAATTCTGTGATTCTGTGCAGGCCCCTGCTGCAAACGGAGCTGCCGAGTGCTGTGCCAGCCGGCCTGCGCCCCGAGAGCTGCCTGGGCCAGAGGATGATGTCAAGGAAAGTACGGAGTCATCTGCTCTCTGCGAGGAGGTGGCGTCTGCAGTTCTGAAAATGAAGCCTGGGAAAGCACCACCAAGAGCTGACATAACGTGGTGGCTGCTGATCGTGGTGTCGGTGCTCTGAGGAGCATTGGTAGCAAAGCAGGGGGCTGTAGCAGGGAGGCCAAAGAAAGGCCGTCATGAATCTTCGTTAATGGTTGCAGCGGGGTCTTACAGCTCAGGCAACGTTGTGCCTTCTGAGATCCACAGCTGCATGGTGCTGAGAGCAGGCCTGCTGTTCCAGTAAGCTGGTTTTCGAGGGGTGAAGCCTCCGTGATCAAACTGAGAATTTGCCAGTGCATGACTGTAAACGCAAGGCATACGGTCGCTGGTTGAGTATGCGCTTCAGAGAATCCTGTTACCTTGGGTGGAGCCTGCTGCCGGGGGAGAATTGTGAACTGTCTCCTGTCATTTACTGCCTACAACATTATGGTGCTTACAGAAACAGAGGCAGGGAGGTATGAGATACGGGTTTGGTGTTACCATGCCTCTCCATCAGGTCTACCACAGCCTCCAGTGCTACAGATCTGAAGGGAATCACCAGTGGTAGATAAACCAGCAGAATGCTTTCTGCTTCAGCCCACTCTCATAATCCGATGAATGCTGGGACAAAGGCAAACAGTGAGTACAGAACATGGATGTTCCGTGTATACAGTGAAAATAAAGCTGATGTTCATGATGTAATGAAATCCATGTGTATACTATCACTGGCAATTCCTGCTCAGCTTCTAGAAGTGAAAGATGAAATATTTTATCTGGGAAAGAAAAGTACACATAAAAGGAGATTTCTAAAACAAAACAGATTGGGAATGGCTTACTCAGCCTTTGCAAGGAAAAAATGCTATCTTTGCGTATTTTAAATACAAGATTTAAATAATAAGAATAATAAGTACACGTAAAAATTTTTAAGTACAAGAAGTTGTAAATGGTGAAAAGCTGCCTTTTTTCTAAATGTTTTAATGCAATCAGAGAAAGTTAAAGATGATGATTGATGAAAGAAGACTGGAACTCGGTCAGAAAATAGACAAGTGCTAATGTTAAAATTATTGCTGAAGAAAACAGAATTCAAATTCAAAAGTGAAATCAGCAGGTGTAGACCTTACACTCTCTGGTTATGTCAAGTGGTAGATCTGGAAATAACCTTGAGAAAGAGTAATTGTGAAGGAATGGTTGTGAGTCATCACCAACAAAATGATACGTGAAGAGTGACAGATCGCTGGGAGTTAATTATTGAGTGCTTAAAAAGCCAGGAAAGAGAATGTGAGTATATCCAAAACATCTGCAGTGATGGTCATCAGCCATGGAAGAGTAATGGTTGTTTCTTAATAGCATTCCCTTGGTGACTTTCTCTGGAGCTCTTGGTTTTACCACATTGTCTACTCTAGCTTAGGGAAAGCTGTTGCAGTGTTTGCATCCCCGTTCTTTTGAAAGTGTGCCACAGTTTTTACTTCTTCCTTTATTTTATTTTTTTTTCCCAACAAATTCCATGTCCTTTCCTTTCCTTCCTTTCTTCCTTTCCTTTCTTTCCTTTCCTTTCCTTTCCTTTCCTTCTTCCTTCTTTCCTTTCCTTCCTTTCCTTTCCTTCCTTTCCTTCCTTTCCTTTCCTTTCCTTTCCTTTCCTTCTCCTTTCCTTTTCCTTTCCTTTCCTTCTTCCTTTCCTTTCCTTTCCTTTCCTTTCCTTTCCTTTCCTTTCCTTTCCTTTTCCTTTCCTTTCCTTTCCTTTCCCTCTTTAAGCGTCTTGACCAGCCTTGCTCAGTGGCCTCCCAATTCTTACATTAGCAGTCTGCCCTTGCATTTAAATTCTCTTGTTCAGGCCACCTTTCCCAAAAGTTCCTTTTGGGGAGCTATTTTCTGGCACCGGCTGCAATTTGTGCAGTTCCACCCTTGCGATGGCAGCTCCTTGCCTCTGTCGCCAGGGTCCCAGCCACTGTGCTGGTGTGATCCAGATTGTAGCTCAAAGCAGGGAAACGCCTGCCTGAAAAATCATCATTAATACCATTTTTTCATGTTTTGCCAGCTGACATTTTAGCCCCACCAGTCCTTTGATCCAATTTGCTGTGGAAGAATATGACTCAGGGCCCAGTGGAAGAGGTGGAAACCCTAAATTTGGCCGCTCCCACAGTACAAGTCTAGGAAATCATATGAAGATGTAGGATACACGCTGTCATCTGGCATCTTTATGAAGTTAAGAACTATGGAGGTTTTATTGTTGTTGTTTTGTTGTTGTTTTTTAATATTCGTGTGCCAAGACTGGTTTCTCTCTATTAAGGAAAGACTTGACTGCTTTGGTAAATAGCAATCCTGAAGTCTTCTTTAACTGATCACTTTTGTACCTTGTGTTGTATTTATTGTGTTTAATGCTTGCTTTGATATTTTATCCTAGTGCTGCTTCCATTGTTTTACAAGTGACATTTTCATAGGATTTGGCTTTATGAAGCTAACATTCAGTGAAGCTAGTAAAGACACAAAACCACAGCCCGACTTCTCACATCCTCTTCTACGAAATTCAAGTTTAGTTTCAGTCTCTGCTGCTGTGCTCAGACCTTCTGCCCTTTGAAAAGCTTCTCTTCCCTCTTAAAGAGTGAATCCTATTGAAGGCTAAGAAATATGAGGCATGCCAAATAGCGTATTTTTAGTGAATATTTGTACTTCCATTGTGTAACCATTTCACCTGCTGTCATTTTTCAGTTGCTTTGTGTTCAGAATGATTTTGCTGATCCAAGCATTTATTTGCAGCTTTGCTTGCAAGTCTTGGTCACAACCTGGGCTTTGATCTTTTGTCTTTGCATTCAGAAATCCCCAGATGTTTACTGTTGTCATTTTGCTTTGTGAAACTCTAACTAAAGTTTTTAATCAAATTTTACCCTCTGTAGCACATTTATCTGTAGCTAAATCTTTTTCACAATTTCTGGATAAGCAAATGCTTATAAATCTTTCAGCATGGAGTATTCTGACAAGCACATGCAGAATAAAAACGAGCAGCACAAGATTACTCATTGAACGTTTCCGTTATCTTCATTTTCTTGTACTGTTCCTATTACTGGATGTTTTACGGTGCTAGACTCTAGATCCTGAAGCTTTACAGGAAACAGCAATTATTACTGCCCTGGCTCTGTGGATAAGAAACTGAGGCGAAGTGACTTGGTTGCAGACAGCTGGTGGCTGAGCCGAGACTGAAAGCCAGCTCTCCTGTGCTTCAAACGCTCAAACAGGATGCATGGGATGGTGGCTGCAGCAGCATAAATGATTATAATTGTAACTAGTGATGCATATTTAATGCATATCTTAGTACGCATTCCTTTTATTTGTTAAGCATTTAGTTTAATTAATTTTTAAACATACTTTTTGAAGGGGAGCAGCAAGCAACACGTCCCAGAGGACGGTGTCTCTGACTAACCTGTATCATGCTGTCAATAACAATTTTCCATCTGAGCTTAGAATTCCCACTGGTACACAATCACACCTGATACACCCTGTACTGACACAGTGGCTGCAGATAAGAGCTGGCAATGAATGACTTTGCTGTTGTCAGAGCCTGTCTGAGCTTTGAAAAGGTTGCTTTCCATTTTCTTACTCCTTTCTACTTTGTTCTCTCTTGCCATTTTTTTTCCTGAGGTTGTGTTAGATGTGTGAATAGCAATGAGGAGCAGCCATGGTGCATCTCTCTGGGTCAGGAACTAGAGTGGTTTGAAATTTAATTACTTTACATTTAAATGAGTGGCTTGCACTAAGAGCATTCCTGTTACAGAGCTCGTCCTCAGGCTGGTGAGCATGGATTCTCTGAGGGCTTTATCTGTATCTTCAGGACAGACACCAAGATAAGGAGGCAGGGTCACTGCTTCTGTACATCAGGAACGGCAGCACCGTGCGAAGTTCTCCCACACTGTACTTCGACAGCAGCTGATTTCTCTGTGTTACTCATTAGCCATAAAAAAAGAAAAGTCTTGTCATAAAATAATTACATACAGATTTCACTTGCATGGGATAATGTATAGATGAGTCTGCAGTCTCACAGGTTGAGTGGTACATAAGTGAGAGATCAATGCTTTTTGGTCTATATTGTCTGTGGAGACAGACTTTAGTCAGCACACGCTTCCTTTACGTGCCTCAGCTGCACATCGAACCCATGCTACAAGAAAGCTGAAGAGCCCATGAAACTCATTGCCAAACTGGTAAAAAACCTGTGGAACTCACCGCCACGAGATTCAGCTGCCAACAATACAACCAAACTTGGAAAAAGGTTGGGAAGTGCTGGAACCGGGAATTAGAGAGCTCGTAATATTTGGGGAAGGAAGGGAATCTGTAGATGTTAAAGAAGCTGTATTAAGAATGACAGCGTGATTTGATTCTGAGTGCTGAGCCGTCCATATATTCAAGAGTTGCCTGCTGCAAGGATTTTGGTGTCGTGCTTGCATAACAGCTAGCTCAATTCCCGTCACTCAGGATGCTGGTTTTTACCACTAAGCACTGCACTTGGTGGAAAGCGGGCTCGGGCCTGATGCAAGGGCCTTGCAAGGTCAAAGCAGTCAAAGACAAAAAGCAGAGTCAGGAGCACGTCTAACGGGTACAATCTGAAACTGAGGACACAACGTGGTGCCAGGCTGCTGGCAGAATCCCAGCTTTCATCATGCTCTGGGCAGTTTATGCACATTCATTGCCAGAGGCAAGCATCACAGGGGTCTATTCCATACCTAACCCATCACCACCATCTAAATGGGTTAGCAGGAGGGGAGAGGGAAACTGCGTTGTATATTTGTGCCCTTCTCCTTCTGTCTCCCCCGGTAACCAGTCCTTATTCACCAGATGCATCCATTTGCACACGTAGAGAAGAAAGGCTTCCTTCAGCCCCAGCAAAACCCGTGGCAGTCGTGCCACTGATGAAGAATGTGTGAATGGCGAGAGGGGGGCAGAGGATTCAGCCCTGCACGACTGCATGTGGTGATTTCCTCAACGGGAAAGGAACTAGCCTCCTTCATCCACAAATCCATCTGCAGGTATCTCTCCTAGGGTAATTTAGCAACGCTACGTGTTCAGACTTTATACAGCAGGTGCCTGAAATGTAAGATCACACTTTCGGTTCATTTTTTCTGAAAAAAAACACAACACAAAACCAAGCACTTCCATGTAGCAGTAAACACCCCGCGCATGTTGCTTGTTCAGGCAACATAGGCAGCTCAAGTCTCAGGATGTGGACATTGAAAAAAATATCTTCCACACCTCACATTTTGGCTGCTGATAGTATGTGGCTGTTCTTTTACAATTTCCTTCCTGCACAGGCAGCAATCACTAATTTTAGACTAGCTTACATGTAAGAGTAACATTTCAGGCTTGGAAACAGTTTGCTGCTTCTCAAGAACAAACCTACCACATCTTTTCAGGTAAAATACTACTCGGTAAATTAAAGTGACAAATGGCAGACCTCTTGGTTTAAGAGGAGACAGGAATAGCACCCAACTGCTCTGATTTGAAGGTATCCAGGACTAAATGCCAAAATCGATCAATTTGTGCAACAGCCGTTAGAGAAGCACATACGGCGCCTCAGAAAATTGAAGAGAAAAATTATAATCTCCAGGCTTAGCAGCTTTACTGCAAAAAATGATAAAGTGTATAATTCTAGATACCTGCTAACATACAGGTTAGCATTTATGTTAGTTTTCTAAGTCTAATTAAAATGTGTTGAGTCTTACTCTTACGCCTGTACAGACTTCGATTTGGTAATGCAGATGATCTTTTTTTCCTTTTATTGTGATGATGTTGACATCAGCCTTCCAGGATATATCCCCTGCATATATTTGCTGCGATGTGCACAGCCAGCTGAGCTACCCAGATCTCTAATCGCGCAGGCTCCTCTGTGAACAGAAGTCACACGTCCTGCTACATGGTTCAGAGGCTCCTCAGTGCCACTGCTTGTGAACGGGGACTCAGACCTACGTGCAGGAGTGATGGGTAGCCCATGATCACGCAGAGCTGTCCATACGCTGCTCTGCAGGGCACCCACGGGTGTTTTTAAGCACCCAGCCCACATTGAGGGCTCTGGGATGCCCACAGCCACCTTTCTCAGACAGTAGTTTTTACAGTTTCCATGCAGTGCTTTAGAAAACCCTAAAATGTGCACAGCTGAGCTGCAGAGCACAGCTTTGGTGGCCTGCGGAGGTCAAGGGGCTCCGGAGGGAGCTGCCCTGAGCTGGCCAAGGCAGTGAGGATCATTCCTTCCTGGGCACTGTGCTGCTGGCTGGCCATGATCAGAGGTAAAAGAGCACTGTGTCTATGCTCTGGGTGCTGCACCGGGGCATTACAACTCTCTGGGCACTAAAATTACACTTTTTTAGCATTGCTGTGGCAACTGGGGGTCCTGCTTGTGGGCCAGCACCGCCCTGGGAGAGCAGCGAAGTGTTTTACAGGATGTAGTAAGCTTCCTTTGTGCTTCTGTTCCTTAAAAGCATTTAAAGTGTTTCCTGGAAAAGGCCGGGGTGGTCAGTCAAGTAAGGGCTAGATACAAAATCCAACCTCTCCCATTTCCAGGCAGTTTCTGGTTGCTTTAGGAACATCTTGCAGGACCACCTCTGAAGCCCTGGGCAAACTTAGAATGGTTCCAAGACCCCTCAGCAGGAAGGGGGCTCCCCTATTTCCTTTTCTGTATTTCAGAAGATCCGAATTCCCTGTTATATGCCTAATAAATGCCATTTCTCTGTGCCATGTTCTGCTTTATGCAGAACAGCAAAGCTGAACCACTGACAAACTGATGTGAGACAATAAATGCTTCGCCCAAACCAAAACATCACCCATCTAGAGACAAATTTAGAGAGAGATTTTAAATCAGGCTGGTAGGCCAAGCTGATGAAGGCCCGTTCTTATCTGATGTATTTTTTATTATTGAATGGAAGGGAAAATGAAACTGAGTTATCCTGTCAAACAGAAAAAAAAATCATATGGTAGCCGTGGGTGCTGCATGATAGATAGATCATGCTCAGTGTAGTGTCTCCTCATTATGAGTGATCCCAGGGTATTTTACACAATTTAATCAGAATGTCCAAGGGATCGTTTTATCCATCTTAAAAGATATCAGCTCCAGGTATTGCATGTTCCAAGTACTTAACCAAAGAGTGACTTAGAATAATAATTGAAGCATATTGTATCCTGTAGAAATCACCTGCTTTGTAGTTCAGTTCTTACAGGAACCCCTGCATTTATGCATTGTTATGCTTGTAAAAATATGAGGTAAGTGTAAAACGATGATTTACTGGCCAAGGCAATCCATGCATCCAAAACTATTCACAGTCCATTAAGGGAGTGAGTTTTGGACTTGGAGCTTTGTTCCAGTTCTGATGTTTGTAATCCCAAAGGCAGATGTGCACCATGATGATCCACTCGTAATTTTGTGTTGTGTTTTTTTAATCCCGGTTATAACTTTGCTCAAAATAACCTTCCGATGCGTTGCTGCAGACAGCTCTGTATATCCACAGGTTCTTCGTTCTTTGCTCTCAAGCAAGAGACCAGCTCATCTGGGACCAGTGTCTGCTCTTGAACATTTTCACTCGACAGCGTTTTTTCCCACTGATTTTCCTCCTGCGCTGAGCTGAACGCGTAGTTTTGCCCACTTCTGTTGTTGTTTAAAATGAGGTTGATCTTTTCCAGCAGACAGACGTTGTGCTCCGCTCCTTCGGCGTTCCACAGGTAGCTAACGGGACTGGTGTAGTCTCTGAAGAAAAAGGTTGTCTCGGTTGTCTCCGGTTCTGGAGCCGGTGTGTGGGACTGTGCTTGGTAAATATTGGCAGCTACATATCCCAGAGGGCTCCCGTCGGAAATCTGAGGCTTGTAGTCACTGACGTGCTCAGGGGCAGTGCTGACGGCTGGTGCTGAGCTCTGTGGGTGCTCCACGTTCTCAGGGACCGCTGTGCTGGGTTTCTTTTTGATGTCCACATTCTTGTATTTCTCGTGCGCTGACATCTCCTCTACTTCCATGATCGTGGGATCCAGGAACGGCTCACAGGAGGTGTTGCTTGTGAATTCACTCTTCTCCTAGAAAAAAAATACAATACAATGACTGCAGTAACAAACTGGCAAATTTTGCCAAGGGGAGAGAGATCATTAGAGCATCACACGGAGGAAATAGGGCAACGACTCCTTGTCTTCATCTCAACATCCTTCCTTCTTCTCTCATCTAATCCTCTCCATAGGACAGACTACTGCGAGGTGGCAGAGAGAAGACAGGAGCAGCTGTGCACGTCTCCGTTCTTCTGCATGCACCCCAAGGTCAGCTTGATTCAGTTGGCACTACTGGATAAAATTTATATTGAAGCAAGGTTTAAAGACTCCAGCTAAGCTGGACTTCCATGCACCTTGCTGGTGCTGGTAAATAATTCTCTGATCAGTTCTAGATCCCCTAGAGCTGAATCCTGCTCTGTCCATGTTTCTCACAGCTGCAGAATGATTTTTAAGTATATGTAAATGGGGAAAAAAAAAATAATGGTGCAATTACCTGGAGTGACTTTATCACGTTGCTGTTTTCCATGTGGGGAAAATCTTCACGTAGCCATTTCGGTAAGAGTGACGCAACTGTTGCTTTAATTCTTTACCAAAATAAAAATAAAAAAGCAAAATGTTAGTCCATTTTATTATTCATTTATTTGTTTGTTCTAGATGAAATTGTCCCAAGACAGGGAGGGAACACTGAGTGTATCCATCATTCATGGCCATTGTGGAGGGCTGGGAAGCCTCAGTTTCCCCATGTGGGTAGTTTTTCTCATCTGAACCCCATCTCTTCATCTCTCAGTGCTGTTCCCCTGAGTCTGGTTGTGGTGGTGGTGGAGCCTGGCTCCAGCTGGCAGAGGGGCACTGTTCACCCTAACGTTACACTGTATGGCTGCAACACAGCGGGTGCTGTTTCCCTCAGAACAGGATTGGGTTTTGTCACTGCACTACATTCAAAATTACATTTATTGAGCAAGTCTGGAAACTAAATTACTCTGTTTAAATCCCTTGTGTAAAACATACATGTATGGGAAAATGTTACTAAACTGAGGTGGGTGGTGGAACCCAAGCTAAGTATTTAAATAAGAGGATGCATGTGTCCTGAGCTGATGAAATAAAATACACAGCAGTAATGAAAGTTGATTTTCCTACAAACAAAGCTGCTGCAGGAACGAAAATTGATTTTCCGACAAACAAAGCTGCTGCAGAAATGAAAATCATTTGCAAGAGATTTTGATTTAGTTGAGCTTTGCTGATGTTGTGTGCACTGCTGTGTTCCTGAGAAAGTACACGCTCTCTGTTCTTGCTGTCTTGCCCAATTACATCAACAGCAGAAAAATTCAGACAGGGTTCAGGAACTGAAAGGGGCAGCCCTTCAACATCCTCTAACCCCGGGTCTTCTCCACCCTCTTTCTTGCTCTATCAGGAATGTCCAACAGCCAGCTCCATGGCACAGAGGCGACCGTTTCTACGTATTTGTATCAGGAACAGCACTGGTGGGACTCCTCTCACTGCGGAGAGGGTGCTTGGCAAGCTAGGTATGCAGCAGTCATGTTAAAAAAATGGAAGGAAGACTCTCCCTGTTTGGTTTTCCACCTCTTTTCCAACTCCCCGGTCTCTGCCAGTCTCCCAGGGTGCAGACACGGGGGCAGCCAGCAGCCTGTGCCAGAGGCAGCATCCCTTCCTCATTCAAAAGAGTAACAGATCCTACTATAAAACTTACTTGAAGAAGGTTATATTTTCCCTCTTTTTTCTTTTACTCCCCCTAGATCTGTATAATAATAATATATCACGTCTGGTTCCTACAGAGGAGTGATTTTTACTTTTTTATTGGTCTCTGCCTTCTTGTGGAGTGCACAGATAGCCTCTTATGCAGCAATATTATGAACAAGCAAAGCTGCCCTCAGTAGGAGCAGAGCATAGGGGGAAGGACTGGTTTCTCTAGTTACCTTTAGAATATTCTGGAAGAAAAGTATGAGTTACAAATTAAGAAAAAAATGTGATGAAAGTAATACCTTTTTCTAGCTGATTTTTTAAACATCAGAACAGCAAGAACAACTGATGATACGATCACACTGACACCCATTCCCAGGTAAACTCCAGTGTCATCATCTGAAAGAAGACAAAGAGGAAAGAGGTTAGTCAGGTAGCTCCCATTTTAAAACAGATGTTATAGGCCACATCCTGAGTCGCACTTGTGAATAATTCTGCATCACAAGCAGTCATGGTGAACGTGACTCCTTGCATGTCTGTTATTCCTATACATCTGCACTTCCAATTCTAATGGTCTGGTGGAGGGGCAATATTTATCTAGAGCTGGAGGCCACGAAGGCATCAGGGCCAGGCTCTGGAGGGCCCTTCTGCTGCTCATCCATGCCACTGCCAGACATGGGCAGCTGGCAATGAACCTCGGAAGTGGCCGCCCCTCCGCTGCCCCGAGGTGGTTGCCAGTCGCCACCCGGCCGGGATCCTCCAGCCAAGTAATTCTAGTAAGTGTGGTCACTGTGTTTAACCATTTCCTACACAGAATTACTTTCCAGAAATACTTGAGCAAGCTCTTCTGCTTATGTTGGTTTTGGTTTTGCTTTAAATACTGAAGCAGACCATAGTATAACCTTTACCAGAAGCCGTGCAAACCAAAAGCGTAACTGCAGTTAGAAACATGCATGGGAAATGTTTAAGCCAGCCCTTGGCTCAGATTGTACGGCCAGAGCAGTCCGTTATTGTTACACTATTTTATATGTTAACATTATGATATTTTCCCTGGTTTCTTAACTCCTGTTTGCAGTAACGTACATTTTATTACGTCTCATAAGAAAACAAAACTCAAAGGCAGGAATTATGCAAGGTGGATTCACCCCAGGGCAGGACTGCAGCCTTTCTTGCCATGTGGCTCATCTTCCTGTCAAATGAAAAGTTGCTTTGCTGGCTCTGACCTCCCCAAATTACGACGGAGCTTTCACTTCCCTTTCACTACTACATCACCAGATGCTGCGCTCGTGGCTCTGGCCGAAACGTCCACTCCTGGTCAAGCAGAAGCTCTCACTCACCAAGCCTGAAATACTTCTTACCGTGGGAAGTCTCGTTGTAGCTGAAGCTTGGGATCTGATCCTCTGAGGAGACTTAAGCAGAGAGAAGAAAAAAAGGCTGTCACTTCATCTGGAGAATGTACAGTAGGTGAAGTAGAAGCTCTGTTTTATTTATATGTTGTTAATATTATTTAGGAAAAGAAATACTGGTATAATAAGAAAAATAAAGCCCTGTAAAGTAATTAGTGTCTTCTGCTTATCTGCACTCTACATCATCTTGTATTTCTCTGAGTTCTAATTAAACAAAATGTTATCAAAACCGTAAAATACATTACAAGAAATCTCCCCCACACACATCTCGAGACAAGAATTTACCCTTCCTGAAGAACCCCGGGCCGTTTTCCATGCGCACCTACAGATAATTTCCCAGTGTCCAACCCCCGGAGCACTGAGTTCTCCAGCAGCACCATTTTGTCTAAGCAGATAGCTGCAGCTGAGTCTGCCGTGGCAAGAAGCTTATTTTTGCTAGAAGAGGCAGCAAGCTTTCTTTCCTGGCCATATGAAGCAATTCCCTTGCCATCCTTTCCTCAGCAAGTGCCTGCTGTCCTCACTGTTACCGAAGGGATCACCTCGCCATGCTGATAACCCCGGCCCCAGCCCGCAGGTAAAACCTGCCTCGGTGGGACCTGAGCCACGGGGGAGTGAAGAAATCGCCGTGCCCTACAGCAAGCCCCTATCTGGGGCAATCTGCTGAGGCTGGGGCCAGCCTGCAAGAAAAACGGGCTCTGCTGGGACGCCTGTGAGGTGCTCGCTCAGCGCTCAGGGAAGCGTCCCGAGGGAGCAGCCCAGGCAGGAGGCGTGATGGGGCTTCAGGCACACGCTGCTGAGGGCAGGGAAGCTCCTCATGGGTTCCCTTTTGGCCGTGGGCAGGCCCAGAGCCATCATCCTGAAGTAGAGCAATTAAAGCACTGGTCACTAAAGTGGAAAACTGTTGGGCAGCGAGGACGAGGAGCATGGGGGTAGCTTGTCTCAGGAGCCCAGAGGCCTCTCTGCCTGAAACCCAGGAACAGTTTCAGCACATGAAAGCAATACAGCTGATCTTCCCCTGGGATCGGGTAACACAGCGTTCGAGCCCTGTTCCCAATGGTTTTCCTGTGAGGAAAATGGCTCAGGCCACATCTTGTACTGGCACAAAGAGCGGTCAGGCGTTGGGATGGGTTGCCCAGGGAGGTGGTGGAGTCACTGTCCCTGGGGATGTTCAAGGAGAGGTTGGACGTGGTGCTTGGGGACAGGGTTTAGTGGTGACATTGGTGGTAGGGGGGTGTTGGACCAGATCTTGTAGGCCTTTTCCAACCCTAATGTGATTCTGGGCCCATGATCCCCACGGTGCTGCCACCATGCGGCTGGCACCGGGTGGTGCCACAGGGTGGCCCTGCAAGGAGGAGGCCTCCTGACAAGAAGGTGTCCCAGGCTGTGGCCTTCCAGGCTCCCACTGTCCGGAGAGGGACGTGGCAATATCAGCCGTGTCGCCGTGTCAGATACATCTCGTGTCACCAGGCTGCCACCAGGCTCCGATGTGACCTAACCTGGGTAGCGCTGCCGCTGTTTCACCAAAGCACAATTCTGGAGATTTGAGACCACTGGCACATTTATCTTGCATTATCTGTTAATATGACTACAGAAATGCCTTGCTGATGGGCTCGGCTTGTGTAAGGAACATAAGGAACAAGGGCCGGCCTGTGGGGTCAGGCAGGGTGTGAGGTGCTGGTTGTGCCTGCTGGGTGCCTTACGTTGGTGCTTTCCCACATAAACCCCCAGGTTTTACCACAGGAGTCTGTGTAACTAAGAATGATGAGCTCTCTATTTTAAGCATTTAAAGCATTTAGCTAGCACAAATAACAGGTTCTTTCCAGATATTGCAGGTGTAAGGATAAGAAGTCGGACTACATGTCTGGAATGATGAATGCCTACCCTGAGCGTTATCACACCTGGTTTATGCTCAGCCTGTCCTGCCCTCAGGCCGGGATTCCCCAGGATGCTCACTGTGCCCATGGGGCTCGGTGAAAGCACAGATGGGGGATTTTCCCTGCATGGTGGTGCCCTTGGGACAGGTCTGGTGGTGCTGGGACGTGTCCTCAGCACTCATATTGGGAGCTGTGCATGGCTTGTCCTGGCCTAGGTGAGGGCCAGCAGGGGACTCGGCATGCCCAGCTCCTGAGAGCGATCACAGAATCACACAGAATCACACAGAATTTCTAGGTTGGAAGAGACCTCAAGATCATCGAGTCCAACCTCTAACCTAACACTAACAGTCCCCACTAAACCATATCCCTAAGATCTACATCTAAACGTCTTTTGAAGACTTCCAGGGATGGTGACTCCACCACCTCCCTGGGCAGCCCGTTCCAGTGCCTAACAACCCTTTCAGTAAAGAAATTCTTCCTAACATCTAACCTAAAACTCCCCTGGCGTAACTTTAGCCCATTCCCCCTCGTCCTGTCACCAGGCACATGGGAGAACAGGCCAACCCCCACCTCGCTACAGCCTCCCTTAATGTACTTATACAGAGCAATAAGGTCACCCCTGAGCCTCCTCTTCTCTAGGCTGAACAAGCCTTTCACACAGGTGTGTTAAGATCTCTGACATTTCACCACAGTTTCCTTTGTCAGCCTCATGTTTCTCTCTGGCCCATGCCGGGTTTTTGCCCCTTGTCTCTAAGACCGACTCCATAAAACTGGCCGACCGTGAGGACAGCAGGCACGAAGCAGCAGCCCTAAACCCTGCAGCTCCACCACAGCAAGCGGCAGCTTCTCCACACAGCTGGGGCTTACCTTGGCCAGAGCTGGGTTTGCTCACTCCGTCTGGGTAGACTGCATAAACCGACACGTTGATGTTGCTTGCCACTGCTGTGTCTTCTGAAATGAAGCGTTATTTGCCTTTAAAACGTATTTATAAGCTGCTGTTAAAGCTGTAGACTTGCTCGAGGGCTTCTGGCTGAGCCCTGGGGGACCAAACACCCCGGCTGCCCTTACATCCCTCACTGCTCCGCTCCCTCCTGCTCCCTGGGCTCCTCACAGCCCCCAGCCCCTGAAGCGGTGGGCAGGGGCTCAATCCCAGTGAGATTTGGGCTTTGCGATACCTCGCCGAGCTGCAGCCAGTGGAACCGCTTACCTTGGATGTAGGTGAGCGTGTCCTGGTACGGGACTTTCTTCCAGAAGAAGCGCTCCTCCTTGCTGTACGGAGCTGTGGAAACCCACTCCACGATGAACCAGAGCGGGGGGCTCCTGCTGCTGCTCGGGGGCTGCCAGGACACCGAGACATTGCTCTGGTTCTGGCGCTGCACCTCCACCGCCGCCGGTGCTGGGAAGGCTGCAAGGAGAGAGGGGTCGGAGCTGGGAGGCTTCTGCCCGGGCAGGAGCAGGGCTCCATCGGGGGGACAGGGCTGGGAGGGAAAAAGTCTTCTAGGATGCAGTGAGTATGGGTGTGGGTACAGGTATGGGTGTATATATAGGTATAGGTATTGGGATATATATGTAAATTTATGTTTATATTTATATTTATAATATAAAAATATTTTTCACATATATTATAGATTATATAATTGTATAATTGTATGTTTAATTTTATAATACAATATTATATAGACTATTATGTGCTATATAACGTTATATCACATATATCATATCATATTATATTGTTCTATTATGCTATGCTGTATTATATTATATTAAGTTGTTATATCATATCATATTCATATTCATATTCATATAAATAAAAAATAAAAATAAAAATAAAAATAAAAATAAAAATAAAAATAAAAATAAAAATAAAAATAAAAATAAAAATAAAAATATAAATATGCGCACACCTGCATGTGTATATGTATATACACGTGTCTACCTCACAAAAGCACGTGTTCAGCTTTGTCATGCCTCTTCTGTCTGAGACGCGTTACCTGACATTTTTTACCAGAAACACGCATCATTCTGATAAGTATGAGATTAGAGCATTTTTTCCACCTTATTTACACTGCACGGTTTCGTTTTACTCATGCTCGCTATTTGTCCTGAACTCGAACGGGACTTTCCCCTCCCGTTGCTCATTAAAAGTGACGTTTTCAAAAATAGGAAAGCGTGGTTGTGGGGAAAGCCACAGCCCGTGGCGCAGGGAAGCCGAGGCAGCCCGGGAGCTCCTTCTCCTCCCTTCCTGCCCCAAAGGCTCCAGCTCACGGCTGGGACGGCAGCGGGAGCTATTTCGGGAGCTGTGGGCACAGAGGGGTGCCCGGAGCCGTGCCAGGCACAGGCAGGACAAGCTGATTTTTATTTTTATAAGCTATTCTCGTCCCTGCAGCCTTCGGAGGCAAAGGGCTGTGGGGCTGGGGCATCTGCAGGGGACGCTGGCCTTGTCTGGAGGACGCTGCACTCCCCAGGCGGAGCGCCTCTTGCTTTGAACCCACGTGTCTGCGTGACGTTTTTCCCCCCGGGTTCTGATAAAAGCAGATCTCTGATATCACCAGCGCTGCTGTGGGAGATGTCCTACCTTGCTGCCTGGCCTCCCGGCCCAGCGTCACGTTGGCCGGGCTGGACGCCCCCCGGGAGTTGTGAGCGGTGACGTGGAGGACGCGCACCCCCGGGGGCACCAGGACGCTGCAGGAGGTGCTGGAGGTGTTGCAGAGGAGCTGTCCTGATCCCACAGACACGGCGTAGCCCAGGATCCTGCCACGGGCAGCACGGGGTGGCAGAGGCTGCAGAGGGCAAGAGGTGGAGATGGGCACGGGGTGCCCCAGGTCCCCTCCTCACCCTCATGTGCTCAGAGGGGCCCCACCACCCTCCACGCTGTGACCTTAAAACCTCGCTGCCAGCCCTACAAACCCCAAACCCTTAACCCCAAGGCCTTACCTTGATCAAGACTGTCACCTCGTGGCTGCCGTTCGGGAACACCGAGCCCAGGCGCCGCCAGACGTCGGGTGCTGCCGCGGGGGCTGTGGGGAGAGCCATGGGGACATTGCCCACCAGCGGCACTGGGGCCCGTGCCCACCCGTATCGCCCTCATGGCCCCCTTCCAGCTGCCTCTCACCGGCTGTGCCGTACCCAGAGGGTGTCACCACCGCGGTGCCGGAGCTGCCGACGTGTGTGGCTTGGGCGCCGCGGGGAAGGAAATGGCCCAGATTGAGAGCAGCGGCTGACACGGCTTTTTAGGGCAGGCACAGCCCCACATCCCTCGCCCTGCCGTGAGCGGGGTGTGGGTGAATGTAGGGCTGCCCCACGAGCCCCGTGCAGCCCGCATCACATCACACGGGGCTCACAGCACACGGGACACTTACCGGCCTCGGGGGTGGTGTACATGAAGGGGGGGCTCCAGGCGCTCCAGGGGCTGTTGGGGGGGCTGCGCCGGCACCGGGCCTGGAACACGTAGTGGGTGTCACTCTGCAGGGGGTGCCCGGCCCGCACCGCGCTGTCCCACGCCTCCACCTGCAAGGGAAGCCGGGTGCTAGGGCACAGCAGGGCCCAACGCCTTCCCCGTCTGCATGGATGGGGACCCCACAGCCCCCCCGAGCACACAGGGACCCCACGGCCCCCCCCAGCACACGGGGCTGCTGAACCCATGGCCATGGGGTGAGCGCAGCCGGTGAGCGGGCAGCGGGGTGCCCACGCGTGGTGTGATGGATGGGCTTGTCCTGGCTGCCCTGCAGCACTTTGGAGCACAAAAATTGGGAGAAAAAAAAGAAAAAAAGCGCTGGGATCTGGTCCTCAGCCAGAGGAGGTTCCCAAACAGGACCCCGGAGCAGCGTGCCTGGGTACAGTTGTGTCTGCGAGAGGGACGGAGGCTGATGAAGTGGGCGCACGCTGAGTACCCTCTGTGGCTTTTTTTCCTGCCTTGTCCTTGCAGAGCTAGATAACATTTGGAAATGTTTTGGGTTTTGTCCCTCTTGCTTAAAACGCAGAGATAACGCTGCTGGAAAGGCCGACTGCTGGAGGCACTGGGGAGCCCCAGGGGGGGGTGGCACTGGGGGGTCCCCACCGGGGCTCCATCCCATGGGTCTGCAATTGGGGGAGATTTGGGGGGCTGGTGCCATCTCACATGCCACATTGGGGCGTCCTCCGCCTTGTGCCGCTCCTCGCAGTGCACGTCCTCCAGCTGCGTCTGCTGCCTCCAGCGGACCGGTGGTGATGGGAGGCGAGCCCAGCGTCGTCTCCGCGCCCTCAGCCAAGGGCAGCGCGGGCACCACTGCGGGGGGAGCGAGAGCCCTGAGCCCGGCCTGCACCCATCTCCCCAAAACTGGCACAGGAAGAGCCTGCGAGCGACGGGCAGGGCTGTGAGAGCGGTGCCACTCGTGCTTGTCCCCACGTACCCAGCTCCTGCAGGTCGAGGTGCCGCGGGGCAGAGGGGGCAGTGCCCAGTGCGTTCCGGGCCTGCACCCACGCCAAGTAGCGGCTGCCGCCACGCAGAGCGCTCAGGGGCACCGGCGAGCCCGCAGGGAACACGTCCTCCTGTGCCTGTCTGTGTGCTGGGAAGCAGAAAGGGCCCTGTCAGAGCCCGTCCCTGCACCGAGGGGCTCGGCTCTCCATCAGGGGCCGGGCTGCGGTCTGGTGGCGGTGCCACGCGCCCACCCGAGCACGTGCACGCCCGCGGGGAAGGCACCCACGCGTCAGCGCCGGGTTACAACTGGGGCACAGTCATCCCCAGAGCGGGAGTTTTTCACTCGTAAAGTGAACTAGAAAGTGACTCCCTTTGGTTCCTGGCACCGCTGGATGGCGTCGGCAGTTTTGCTGCAAAAAAGGTGACTCCTGCAGCTCTCTGGCTGCGGGGCTCAGGGCTCGAACCCAAGCGACTCCACCAGCCACACAGCCTGCACGTGCCTGCCCCGAACACATTGAGGTGTGAAACTGAGCCTTTACACCAGCTCGGTGTCGGGTTTTGGGCACCGTTCGGTGCATGCTGCTGGCTGCACCCTTTCTGCTCACACCCTTCTGGCACCCCAGTGCCACCACCAGCTCTGCACGTCCCCGCGGGGCCCTACCTGTTCAGGTGCAGGCGGTACTCGGTGCGCAGGTGGGTCGGCCGCCCCGCGTCCCACGTGCACGCCAGGCTCCCCGAGTCCTCCCCGATGGTGCAGGTCAGGTTGCCGGGGGTCTCCGGGGGGTCTGGGGAGGCAGCGTCAGGAGCAGCGCACAGACACATCCCCACACCCCTACCACCACCATTCCCATTGCTCCCCACTTCACGACGAGCTCCCCGGCCCCGTGGCCATACTCACAGCCGGCCCAGACCTCCGTCCCGCAGACCAGAACCTTGTTCTCTTTGCTGCCGCAGTGGTCGAAGCAGAGCACGCTGCTGTAGGGCAGCCTGAAGTCGTGCAGCCGCAGCTGGGCCGCGCTGCCGTTGAGGGGGCGCAGGGTCTCGTTACGGGCCGTGCTGTTGAGCTGGATGGAGAGGTTGCTCCTCGGGCAGCCGACGGTGGACACGCAGTTGATGGAGATGTTGGAGCCCATCAGCACCTCCAGGCCGGGCTCGATCCACACGCTGCCCAGGCACTTGATTTGGGCAACACCTGCGCAGCGCCCGCGGCTTCAAACACGGCACCGGCGGCGAGTGCCTCCGGAGGGGTCCCCCCCCGGCTCCCCGCGCCCCCCTGGCACGGGGTAAATCCCCCTGCCTCCAGCAGGCAGCCGGTGACTCACCCACTCAGCTCGGAAACGAGCGACTTTCACCCATTTTACGTTCTGCTCGAACGCTCAAATGACTGCAGGGAAATAACGCGCCGGCGTGCTATCTCTTGATCCCCCGAGATTACGGCGGCCCCTAGATGGGAGGCGTGCGCTGCCCTTTGCTATCAGATCGGGGCCCTGCAGCAGCCCTGATAAAGCCGTTGCTCGCCTGGTATCGGCTCGATCTGGCTTTCCTGGAAAGGGCGCAGCTGCGCCCAGAGCTCGTGCAGCACGGAGGCAGGAGCACATGGCAACAGCAGCAGCTCGCGGGGTGCTGGGGGCTGCTGAAACCCCCCGGGCAGCTCAACGAGGCCAGGGTGGGGATGGCAGCAGGGAGCTGAGGTAGAGCAGGGGCATAGGAGAAGGTGGTGCTGAGCTCCCCAAAGCCAGGGGGGCAACGTTCCTGCCCCGGGGCTGATCCTGAGCAGGGATCACACCGTGCCGTGCCGTGCCGTGCCGTGCCACGCAGCCACTTACCTCTGCAGAGGAAGCAGAGCAGGACGTGGAGCACCAAAGCCTTGCCGGCCCCTGCCATGGCCTGGGCTGCAGCCGCCGTCCGTGCGTGGCATAGTCTGGGGGGCACGAGAGGGGTCAGCCCCACGCCTGCCCTGGCTGCAGGGTGCTCGGGGACCAGCCCCGAGGTGGCCGGGAGCTGTGGGAGGGAAGGGTCCGGACCCTGCCGGGATGGGGATGATCCTGTCCCTCGGCCTGGTGACACCCCGTGGGGCTGGCACCCGGCACCGAGGGGCTGGGAGAGCTGGGGGAGCTGCCCGTGGGGGGAGCAGAGGGGATGCAGCCAGGCTTCTTCTTCACAGGTTTACATTAAAAATCAGGAAATCCCATTTAAATGTAAGGAAAAGCATCCTGCTGTGAGGGTGACGGAGCTCAGGAGCAGGCTGCCGTGGAGCCTCCATCCCTGGAGACGGCCAAACCCAACCGCCCGCGGTGCCCTGGGCAGAAATCCCCAAATTTCCCAACACGTTCCCACCCGCCTTGCTCCTGCTGCTCCTTCCCCGTGCTCACCCCCGGGGTCGCGCATCACCAAACCCCAAAGCAGGGCTCGTGTTTGCATCCCACGAGCTCCCCCGACTTTAGCTGCTTACTTCAGCGAGTTCTTCGCCTTCCTCCTGGCCGGGCACGTGCCGCCCGTCCCGGCGCAGCCGCCTGCCCCGGGGGAGCCACGGCTGGGGCGCAAGGGGAGGCGGATTGGGGGTCTCTGAGAGCTGCACACACCGGGAGCACGGCCGGGCTCTGCTGCTGCCGGACCCCCTCGGCTCCGTGGCGTTCCTCCTGGGGCAGCAGAAGACAAAGAGCCGCGCACAGGCTGTGCCAGAAGTGGGACACGGCCGAGTCCGCGGTGAAAGCGTCAAAATAGCAGAAATCGACCCAAAGCAGGCTGCTGAGTGCAGCTAACCCTCTCGTAGTCCTCCCCACGCTAGCTCGGCTGTGGGTAGGAGCTGCCCTGCTTGCTGGGGCACTGTTCAGGTGTCCATAAGAGCGGGTCCCATTTCCAGTGCCCTTTTGCTACCCTGACCCACAAAGAGCCCTCAGCGGCCCCCAGCTGCCTCCAGCCTCCTGCCGCCTAACGCCACTCACAAACACACACCCCCTGGGCTGAAAAAATATCGAAAAAAAACAATAAATCTCCCCAGCTGCCAGCTGTAGCGCGCGACCGCGGGCTCTGCCTCCTCGGGGGTTCCTGCAGCTCGCGTTTTTACCCCGATTTACGGCCGTTTGCAGGCTCCAAAGCAGAAGGAACGAGTGCGCTCCCGTTGCCTGCAGATGTGGGGCTGCGATCTCATCTCTTAAAAAGCCTCCCAGCAGGTTCCCGTAAATGCACGTGAAAGCACAGAAAGGAGAGGAAAAGGAGGAGAAAAAGAGGAGAAGGAGGAGGAGAAAAAGAGGAGAAAGAGGAGGAGAGCTGTCCCACTTCTTGAGCCCCACGAGACCCTTACCGACGGAGCGCACCGGGAGCCACGGGCACACGAATGCAGCAGCCGAAGCCAGGGCCGGCCCCGGGCGTCTCTCCCATTCCCCATTCCCATTCCCCGTTCCCCAGTCCCAGTTCCCCGTTCCCCGTTACCTCCCCAATCCTCAGGACCCGATCTGGGGCCGGCGGGGCTGGCGTGGCCCCGCTGCCGCCCGCTGTGGCCGGGGCTGCCGGGTGCGGCGAGGAGCAGCAGCGGCTGCGAGCAGCCCTGACCTAGATAGCTGCTGCTGCTGCTGCTGCCGCCGCTGCTACCCAAGAAGTTTCCAGTTTGAGTCAGTCCATGGGAAAACCCAGCATCCCCTGAAGGAACAGACTCAGTCGGGGTTGTTTTTTTTTTCCTCTCTCTCTCTGCCTTCAAGCTGTCACAGCACCATTAGTCACCCCGCAGCGCCGACTGCATCCCGGCGCCTTTTTTGTTCCCGGGGCTTGGTGCTAAGTGGTGCGCAGCTCCTGCTGCCCTCCCAGCTGCCAGTGCTCCAACTTGACCAAATTACTTATTTTTTACCTTTTTTTTTCCTGCTTCTAAACCCAAAAAACTTCAAGGTCCCACCAGCACCCCTTGCACCCTTCCTCCTGGGGGATCGGGGTCAGGGTGGTGGTGGTGGTGCCGGTGCGGGTGCACCCCAGTGCCACCAGTGCGGGTGCCCCCTGGCACTGGTGCGGGTGCCCCCCCGGTGTTGCTGTGCCCCCCAGGCGAAGGGTTAATCTGGGTGCCGGTGTTAACCTCACTGGAGGCTGCAACCACAGGAAATACCGCAGCTCTGCAGCACCACTAAAGGTTATGGAAACTGATTTCCCCCCCCGCCGGGCAAGGCAGCCCTTTGTTGGGCTCCAGCAGCCCCTGCCCGCGGCTGGGATTTGACTGATCCGCCTGTTTTTCTTGGGAAAGTGGAGGCCGGGGAGCCGGGGCCGGGTGGCAGCAGCCAGCTGGCAGCGCCAGGGCACAGCCTGGGGTGCCAAAAAAAACCCCGGCTCCGGAGCTGGGTACGGGCAGGCCCACGAGGTTGCAGTGGGAAGTCCTGTTCCAGCGTGCTCCTGGTGTGCCCAGGGCGTCACGTAGCAGAGCATTAATTAATCTAACGACATGGGGGGGCTCTCATCTCGCGGGTGGGTTTTGCTGAGGCTCGGGGGCACCGGGGCTGGGAAGGGCCAGGGATTGGCATCAGGATGGCACGGCGGGGAGCCCCCCGAGACCCCCTGAGACCCCTTGATGGCACGGCACAGCATGGCACGGCACAGCACGGCACGGCACGGCACGGCACGCAGTGTCCCAGATTTTCTCCCCCCCCTCCAACCCCATCAGCCTTTCGGGGCCACATCGAGTGGGAAGGGAAACGTGGGGGGGCCCCACAGACGCCTCCGCGCTGCCGTCACCTTCCCGGCCGCCCACGCGCAGGCGATTGCATCTCGCAGAGACTTCCTCGCCCTCCGTGCGCCCCACAAGTGACATCCGCCGGGACCCAGGGCACGTGTGTGTCCCCCGGCACCCCATATCCCTGCTGCCTGGCTCCCGGGGACACGATTAAAGTTAGCAGGGATTAATTAATTAATTCCCTGCTCGTTATCCTCGGGGGGCTCGGCGCTGGCCGGGCGTGCTAAAATTGTGCCGGTGAGTCAGTGGCCGGGTTGGGCAGGAAGGAAAGGTAGGGCTGGGGTGTGCAGGGTGGCCGGGAGCGATGGGGACACGGGGACGCTGGGGACGTGGTGGCACGTGGCCCTGGTGGCACGTGGTGCTGCGCCGGCACGTGGCGTGGCACGGGCAGGAGGAGGGTGCTGCGGGCAGGAAAAGCTCCGTGGCTGCGGGTTTCGGTGCCGGCCGGGTACGGGGGGCTGCTGGCAGCACCGGGAGGCATCGGGGCGAGGGGAGGTGGGCGCAGAGCGGGGCTGAGCTGCAGCAGTGCCTGCGCCAGGGGCTGGGTTTGGTCTCGTCTTCGCACCAAGCAAGGCAGTTTTTTCTAAAATAACCTACTTTTTTTTTTATTTTTTTATTATTTTTTTTTCCCCTTTCTAGGCTGCCTCACTGTGCTTCATCCCCGCCCCGGGTGCCACGGCCCCATTCTGCGCTTGTGGGGAAACCCCCCAGGGACACACAAACCCGTGCCATAAGCACGTGCCCCGCTGCCATGCAGGGACCCCAGGGATTCCCGGTGCCCTCCCCACGTGTGGTGCCCCCCACACCTCCTAATCCCCCCCCGGCTCCCTGTGCAGTGCTGTGCCCCCACGCCTGACCTCTGTGCGGTTGCCCCCCCTTGGTGTAACACCCTAAAGTCACAGCCCTATAAAGTGCCCACCGTGCAGTGCCCTGGTGCAATGGTGTCCCCATGCAATGTCCCTGTGAAACGTCCCCATGCAACGTTCCTGAGCAACGCCCCACATGCAACACCCCTGCGCAATGTCCCTGCACAATATCCCCGTGCAATGATATCCCTGTGCAGTGTCCCCGTGCAATGATGTCCCTGTGCAATGATGTCCCCGTGCAATGCCCTCGTGCAATGTCCCCATGAAATATCCCTACACGATGTCCCTGTGCAATATCCCCGTGCAATGATGGCCCTGCACAATGTCCCCATGCAATATCTCCATGCAATGTCCCCGTGCAACGCCCCCGTGCAATGATACCCCTGTGCAATGTCCCCATGCAACAGTGGAACGTACCCATGCAATGATGTCCCTGCACAATGTCCCTATGCAACGTCCCCATGCAGTGATATCCCTGTGCAACATCCCTGTGCAATGATGTCCCCGTGCTATGATGGCCCTGCACAATATCTCCATGCAATGTCCCCATGCAATGTCCCCAGGCAATAATGTCCACGTACAATGGTCCTGTGCAATGACCACCATGCAATGTCCCCGTGCAATGATGTCCCTGTGCAATGTCTCCATGTGATTATGTCCCTGCACAATGTCTCCGTGCAACGCCTGTGTGCAATGATATCCCTGTGCAATGTCCCCATGCAATAGTGCAATGTCCCCGTGCAACGTCCCTGTGCAATATCCCTTTGCAATGATGTCCCTGCACAATGTCCCTGTGCAACGCTGCCATGCAGTGATATCCCTGTGCAATATCCCCATGCAATAGTGCAACATCCCCTTGCAATGATGTCCCTGCACAATATCCCTGTGCAATGCCCCCGTGCAATGTCCCCATGCAATGTCCCTGTGCAGTGATGTCCCTGCACAATATCTCCATGTAATGTCCCCGTGCAATTATGTCCCTGCACAATGTCCCCGTGCAACGCCCGTGTGCAATGAGATCCCTGTGCAATGTCCCCATGCAATAGTGCAACACCTCTGTGCAATATCCCTGTGCAATGACCCCCATGCAATGTCCCTATGCAACGCCCCCGTGCAATGATATCTCTGTGCAATATCCCCATGCAATAGTGCAATGTCCCCATGCAATATCCCTGTGCAATGATGTCCCTGCACAATATCCCTGTGCAATGTCCCTATGCAATGTCCCCGTGCAATGATATCCCCTGCACAATGCCCCCATGCAATGTCCCCATGCAATGATATCCCTGTGCAATATCCTCATGCAATAGTGCAATGTCCTGTGCAATATCCCTGTGCAATGATGTCCCTGCACAATATCACTGTGCAATGCCCCTGTGCAATGATATCCCTGCACAATGTCCCTGTGCAATAGTGCAATGTCCCCGTGCAATGTCCCCATGCAACATCCCCGTGCAATGTCCCCATGCAATGTCCCCGTGAAGTGATGTCCCTGCACAATGTCCCTGTGCAATGACCCCCGTGCAATGTCCCTGTGCAACGCCCGTGTGCAATGATATCGCTGTGCAATGTCCCTGTGCAATAGTGGAATGTCCCTGTGCAATGATGTCCCTGCACAATGTCCCCATGTAATGTCCCCATGCAATGATATCCCTGTGCAATATCCCCATGCAATAGTGCAATGCCCTGTGCAATATCCCCGTGCAATGGTGTCCCTGCTCAATATCCGTGTGCAATGACCCCATGCAATGTCCTCATGCGATTATGTCCCTGCACAATGTCCCTGTGCAATGACCCCCATGCAACGTCCCCGTGCAACGACCCCATGCAACGTCCCCGTGCAACATCCCCATGCAATGTCCCCGTGAAGTGATGTCCCTGCACAATATCCCCGTGCAGTGTCCCCATGCAATATTCCCGTGCAATGATGTCCCTGCACAATGCCCCTGTGCAATGACCCCCATGCAATGTCCCTATGCAACGCCCCCATGCAATGATATCCCTGCACAACGCCCCCATGCAATGATATCCCTGTGCAATGTCCCCATGCAATAGAGCAACGTCCCCATGCAACGTCCCCATGAAGTGATGTCTCTGCACAATATCCCCATGCAATGTTCCCGTGCAATGTCCCCGTGCAGCACCCCCGTCCGATGATATCCCTGCACAATGTCCCCATGCAATAGTGCAATGTCCCCGTGCAATGATGTTCCTGTGCAACGGTGTCCCTGCACAATATCACTGTGCAATGTCCCCATGCAACACCCCCGTGCAATGAGATCCCCGTGCAATGTCCCCATGCAATGGTGTCCCTGCACAATGTCCCTGTGCAATGCCCGTGTCCAATGATATCCCTGCACAATGTCCCCATGCAACAGTGCAACGTCCCCATGCAATGATGTCCCTGCACAACGTCCCTGTGCAATCACCCCCATGCAATGTCCCCGTGCAATGCCTCCATGCAATGATATCCCTGCACAATGTCCCCATCCAATAGTGCAACGTCCCTGTGCAACATCCCCTTGCAACATCCCTGTGCAATGTCCCTGTGCAATGTCCCCGTGCAGTGATGTCCCTGCACAATATCCCTGTGCAATGTCTCCATGCCTCCATGCAATGTCCCCATGCAATGATGTCCCTGCACAACGTTCCCATGCAACGCCCGTGTGCAATGATATCCCTGCGCAATGTCCCCATGCAATAGCGCAACATCCCTGTGCAACATCCCTGTGCAACGATGTCCCTGCACAATATCACTGTGCAATGCCCCTGTGCAATATCCCTGCACAATGTCCCCATGCAATAGTGCAATGTCCCCGTGCAACATCCCTGTGCAACATTGCCGTGCAACATCCCTGTGCAATGTCCCCACGCAATGTCCCTGTGCAATGATGTCCCTGAATAATATCCCCGTGCAATGTCCCCATGCAATAGTGCAACATCCCCGTGCAACATCCCCGTGCAACAATATCCCCGTGCAACACCCCCGTGCAAACACACCCCCATGCAACCCCCCCTTTCCCCCTCCCCCCTTTCCCGCCTTTCCCCTCCCCCTCCCCTATCCCTCCCCCTCCCCTATCCCTCCCCTTTGTGCCCCTCCCCTGTCCCCTCCCCCCCCGCCATGTCTCCGCGTTCCGCGCGCAGCCGCCGGGGGCCGGGTGTTGGTGCCGGGGGGGGGGCGGGAGCAGCCCCCGGGGGAGCCCCCGCGCGCGGCGATGCGGAGCGGGGCCGGGGCCGTGGCGGGGCCGTGGCCATGGCGCTGCCGCCGGGCCCCCCCCTGTGCCTGCGCCTCCTGGCCGCGGCCTTCTACGGCCTCAGCTCCTTCCTCATCGTCGTGGTCAACAAGAGCGTGCTCACCGCGTACGGGTAGGGCTGCACCCCCCCCCTGCCTCCCCCCCCCCCCCCCCCAAAATACACCGATATCCCGGTGCCCCCCCCCCCCAGCCCCGTTTTGGGGTCGGGGTCCCGCTGACGGCCGCGCTCTGCCCGCAGGTTCCCGTCCTCGCTCTGTGTGGGGTTGGGGCAGGTGAGTGGGGGTAGTCCCGTTAAACAGCCCCCCCCGGTAACCCCCCGACCCCCCCCGAAACCCCCAATCCCCCATTGACCCCCCCAGTCCACCCCCGAGACCCCCCAAACCCCCCAACCCTGCCAGTCCCCCCATAACCCCCCCAATCCATCCTTAGTCCCCCCATAACCCCCCCCAGAAACCCCCATAACCCCCCAGTACCTCCATAGTCCCCCCTTAACCCCCCCCAGTAGCCCCATAACCCCCCCAGTCCCTCCTTAACCTCCCCCCTTTACCCCCTTTAGCCCCCCCAATACCCCCTTGACCCCCCCAGTGCCCTCCACAATACCCCCCAGTTCCCCCTTGACTCCCCCCAATCCCCCCATAACTCCCCCAATCCCTTCTCAACCCCCCCAGTACCCCCCATAATACCCCCAATACCCCCTTGACCCCCCCGTACCCTCCATAATACCCCCCAGTACCCCTTCACCCCACAAATAGCCCCACAACCCCCCTTTTAACCCCCCCAGTACCCCCCATAATACCTCCCAATACCCCTTAACCCCCCCGATAGCCCCATAACCCCCATAATCTCCTTTTAACCCCCCCAATACCCCCATAATACCCCCAATACCTCCTTGACCCCCCCCAGTACCCCCATAATACCCCCCAATACCCCCCAATACCCCTTTGACCCCCCAATACCCTCAAAATCCCCCATAATCTCCCTTAAACCCCCCCAGTACCCCCCCATAATACCCCCCAACACCCCCTTGCCCCCCCCCATACCCCTATAACCCCCATAACCCCCCCCCTTAACCCCCTTTAACCTCCCTAATACCTCCCATACCACCCCCCAATCCCTCCTTGACCGCCCCAATACCCCCATAACCCCCCCCAAAATCCCTCCTTACCCCCCTAAATCCTCCCCAAACCCCTGTTAACCCCCACATGGGGTCCCGGCGCCCCCCCCCATCCCCTATCCCGCAGATGGTGGCGACGGTGGCGGTGCTGTGGGCCGGCAAGGCGCTGCGGGTGCTCAGCTTCCCCGACCTGGACAGGCACATACCCCGCCGGGTAAGCTGGGGGCACCCCAAAACCCCTTTTTGGGGTCTCCTCGTCCCCCCAGTCCATGCAGGTTTGGGGGATCACACATATGGGGAACATCCCCAGGGTGCATCCACGTGCTGGGTGCAGCCCCCCAGCCCCTTACTCACCCTGTTTTCCCCCCCCCCCCATGTTTTATTTTTAATTTTCCAGACATTTCCTCTACCTCTCCTGTACTTCGGGAACCAGATCACGGGGCTGTTCAGCACCAAGAAGCTGAAGTACGGACGCTCCCCTCCTCCCGGGCCATATCCTCGCTCGTGTGGGGCTGCTGGGGGGCATCTCCCACGTCCCCCCCCATGGGGCTGGGGGCTTTGGGGGGGGTGGGCAGCTCGGGTGGGAGCAGCACGGGTGCTTTGTGCCCCTCTCACTGCTGACCTTCCCTTGCAGCCTGCCCATGTTCACGGTGCTGCGGCGCTTCTCCATCCTCTTCACCATGTTCGCCGAGGGCTTCCTGCTCAAGTGAGTCTTTTCGGCTGATTTCGGGTGGGTTTTTGGGGTGGGTGGAGGTGCTGGAAGGCCCCAAGTGCATGTGCACCTTGCCCATGCCAGCTTTTTTCACACAATAATAGCAAAACCCTTCAAAATTGTAAGGTTTTTGGTGTCTTGCTGCTCGTGCACCTCCTGGTTAGCTTGGAGCTCCTTGGGTTGGGTTCCCCCGCCCAGGTGCCGCTCCTCCTGGGTGCTTTAACGAGGATTTTCCCTGCCCGTGACCGATCAGGGTGTCCTCACCCCTTTCTTTCCAGGAAGAAGTTCTCCTGGGGCATCCAGATGACGGTGTTTGCCATGATCATCGGCGCGTTTGTGGCTGCGAGGTGAGCCCCCCGCTTGCTGCTCTTACAACTTCCCTTTGTGGGGCTCTGCTTGGTGTCCGGCAGCCCCATAACCGTGCTGTCCAGCCCGAGCACCCAGCAAAACTGATATAACTCTTCCTGACGGCTGCCAGCAGAGCAGAAGCTGTCAGAAATCCCACAAGCGGCGCGCTCTGCGCGGCTCCAAACCCCCAACTTTTTCTCTGCTCCTTTTCGCAGCGCTGACCTGGCGTTTGACCTGGAAGGGTATATTTTTATCCTCGTTAACGATGCCTTAACAGCTGCGAACGGTGCCTACGTCAAGCAGAAGCTGGATTCCAAGGTAGGCTGGCCCCTGGCCGTGCTGCGTGGGGCTGACCTGAGGGGGTGGCACCAGGGAGGGTGACACCAGGCGTGTGTCACCCGTGGGGGACAAGGTTTTGTGGTCCTGTGTGGAGTTTAAGGACTTGGATTTCTCCAATTTCTAGGAGCTGGGGAAATACGGCCTGCTCTACTACAACGCGCTGTTCATGATCCTCCCCACCCTCACCATTGCCTACTTCACCGGAGACGCGCAGAAGGTAGGGTTCCTGGCCCCAAAAAAGCAAAATCTGTGGTGGCACCGTGCCTCGTGGGCAAAATTTGCTCAGAAAAGCATCTCGGTGTTCATTGTAGTGCACTTCTCTTTGCATAACAGCAAATACCCCAAATGTGGAGCTGGGAGGTAGCTCGCTACCCGGGCTTGTAGCTAAGATGCTGCGTGGCCTCTGGTGGGTGAGTTTAGGGCAAAGAGTGGTTTGAGGCCAGCTTTTGGGGTAGAGAGGGGAAACTGCCTAAGAAGAAACTGCAAGTCTTACATTTGACTTAAAATCCACAGAGTTGCCTCATCTGAGCCTTCTTGTAACGTTGCAGGAATGGGGAAGTAGCAGGAGCAATAAGTGAAACCAAATATTATCTAAAACAAAAGAGTTGAGTATTTTTAGTATAAATGGGATTTTTCAGGCTTTGCTGTCCTCCCCCCTTCCTGTAGCAGCTATATCGGGCTGCTCCGAGGCGATCCTGCCTCCTGTGCTGCCTCATCCCTGGGGGTTTTGGTTTTCCTGCGGGTCTGTGTCCCCGAGCTGTGTGTTGTGTTATCGTCACACCAATTCACAACCAGTCAGCCCTGGGGAAGGCCGGTGGCTCTTTTCTTGCTGGGAGCCCAGTGATGAGCCTGGTGAGAGCTGCAGGGACGAGGAGCAGCAGTGAGCGAGGGGCTTCGTGCAGGCAGGCAGGGCTGGGGAGCTTTGGGGATAAAGTGCTCCTTGATAACCAGGAGCTGGCAGCGAGGAGAAAACGCTGCCGTGTGCGCACTGTGCAGCCTCTGTTCGGCCCCGGTTGAAATCTCTTCTCACTGTTTTTTTTGTTTTTTTTTTTAATTTTCCCTTCCCCCTGAATAAACTCCTGGCGGTCGGGGCACACAAAGCCGTGCTCTGTCGGGGCTCCTGCCATGAACAGCGCCGCTGTGAGCGCCGGCAGCTGCCCGTGGGGGGCTCAGGAGCTGCTCCCCTGCCTCCTGCACGGCTGCTGGGCCTGGCAGGGCTGGGTGTAATTAAGAAATCTGTCAGCAAACAAGGAGATTAAAATCAGGACTGTGCAGGGCTGCAGGCGGGGCAGAGCCCGTGTCCTGCTGGCAGCCAGGGTCACCATCAGCCTCCTCTGCCCCGGGGACGTGTTTTGGGGTCAGCTTCGTGTCCCCCAGCTCCTGCTTTGGGCAAGGAGCGAGGTTTTTTCACAGCCTTCCTGAGCTGCCTGCTGCCTCTCCCAGCACCTACCCAAGGTCTCTGCGTGATCTCGTGGCCAAAGGTCCGGGGGTGCAGCTGTAAACGGCAGCGGCGCAGCTCGGTCGGGATTTCTGGGGCAAGGGCTGGGTGCTGAGCGCTGCTCTCGTGGCCAAGTGATCCCAGCACCCGCCTGGGAGGTGCCTCCTGCTCCTCTCAGCTCCCGTAACACCACGGACCCCTTTTTCCAGGAGGGCTGTGCTTGGGCATGCGCTGACCCCATGCATTGGGGCGATGCTGGTGCAGGATATTCCCCTGGGGCTGCTCTCTGCTGCTGTGGTGTGAAAGCTGGGATTGGGGATGTCTTGCTGTGAATTACCATCCCTCCTCCTCTTGTTTCTTTGCAGGCGATGGAGTACAAGGGCTGGACAGATGTGTTTTTCCTCGTGCAGTTCATGCTGTCCTGCGTGATGGGGTAAGGATGCTCCTGGGGTGTGTGTGGGGCTGGGGGGGGCACCGAGACCACACCGGGGCTCCTGGGCTGGGGGGCACAGCAATGGTGAATTTCGGTCGACTGAGTAATTCTGGGTTAAAAAACATCTTTAGTCCTGATAGAGATGGTACTATGGAAAGCTAAGGTGGATAGTTTTTTTTTTTAGTTTTTAGCGTTTTTTTTCCACCAAAAATCCAGCAGCACAAATACATTCTAGAGCAGGGGATGCAGGACACGAAGCTGAATTGCCGTGCTCTGAGCACATCCCGGAGCCTGACCGCGGTCTGTTGTTCCTCCCGCAGGTTTATTCTGATGTACTCCACGGTTCTTTGCACTCAGTATAATTCTGCTCTTACAACTACAATAGTTGGCTGCATTAAGGTGAGTGCTGCAGTTAATTCCCGCTGGCTGCGCGGTGACGTGCACGGCCAGCTCTGGCATAGCTTGTCCTGGGCTAACGAAGTGCAAAACGCCCAGAAAGAGCCAAATCTTCTGGGTCACCTCGTCCTGGGGCGGAACAAGCTGGCTATAAAAACAGATGGGTGCTCCTGGGGGTTTTTCTGGTTTTTCTGCCACGTATGAGCTGCCCGTCCGGCAGGGCTGGGGTGGGAGCGGGGGCAGATCTGCGGGCACCGGGGGCCAGGACTGGCATTGCCCTGCAGCCGTGTGCTGTGCCACGTTGCTGCACCCGTGTGCCGTGCTGCTCTGCACTGCTGCTGGAGGAATCAAAGCCTCCATTCATCCAGCAGCCCTAAACCTGACTGCTTTTAATCCCGGATTATACATATTTCCCACTGCCCACAGCCAGGCTTTCCTGTTTCCACATCACTTTAAAAACCAGAGCGTACACTTGGCTCAGGTTATGCAGACACTCACTCTTGTTCTTGACGTCTTGTTCCCTTTGCAGAATATTTTAATAACCTATATTGGGATGTTTTTTGGAGGAGACTATATTTTTACATGGACAAACTTCATTGGTCTAAATATCAGGTAAGGACGCGGGGGCTGCGAATTTTTACGCCTCGCAAATGAAAGTCGCTGCGAAGCTGAGACGGTTTGAGCAGTGAGGCACTTCTCTCAGAAAGGCTGTGAGATTGGACTCTTTGCATAGTTGTGGTTTTCAGCTGATGTAGGCAGGAAGGAGAGGAGCCACGTCTGTCTGTGAGCCGGGACAAGTCTCGGCCCCGCGGTTACCCAGGCTGGGAACGGGGGACGCGTTCACCAGCGTAGCTTTGACGTGGGGTTAACTGCTGCTTTTTTAGGAAAGTAATAAAAATAATAATAAAAAAAAAGTGAGGAAGACCAGGTACACTTAATGTTGACACCATGCGGAGGAAAATAGCTCCCTGCCTGGAGCTGGCAGGGGGTGGAAAGGCTCCTCTGTGCCTGGCTTTGCTGGAACAGCGCTGTTGGCCCGCATGGGTCGTGCTTTGCTTTCGGACCTACCCCACTGGCAGAGCTCTTGGGTGTCCTTCCCCTGCCTCTCACTGCCCGGCAGCACAGGAGCTCGGTGCCATTCGTGGCATGGCGCAGAGCAGCTGCTGTGTGTAATTAAGGTAGCAAGAGAAATATTTGCTTTATTTCACCTGCTATTTCAGTGCAGCTTTTGGAAAAGCATTTTCAGCACCGGGGTGTGTTCATCTGCTGCAAAACTTCTGCTTTGGTGGCAGGGTTACGGGGTCTGGTGGACCTCAACCATGTGCCTCGCTTCACGCCTTTATCCCAACCTTTTTATTGCAGTATTGCTGGAAGCCTGGTGTATTCCTACATCACCTTCACAGAGGAGCAACTGAGCAAGCAGTCCGAAGCTGGCAGCAAGATGGATATTAAAGGAAAAAGCTCTGTGTGACCAGGGGAATGCTTCACCTGAAAGCAAAGTGTTCCTGCGGAGCTGATCACCGGCAGAGGACGGCAAGGAATCAGCGGTGTCTGCTGCAGAGGAATGTTGATGCTCTTTAATTTGCACAATCCAGATTGCTGCCTTCAAAAATCATGGGGAAGAGAAATGACTGCACGTGTAAGAATTCATCTGATTAAGGCTGATTGATTGTGAGGAAATCCCGGGGTTTGAATCACGCGGAGACTTGGCAGGAGAGGCTTGCGCAGGCGGTGCAAGGGTTTGGACTGCAGAGGACTCGTCAGCACCTGGGGAAGGTACACGAGCTGCAAACGTGGTGTCGGATGGTCCTCGCCAGCCAGTGCCACCCTCAACAGTTGGCCTCGAGGGCTGGTGGCCCTTGGCTCCGTGCCGAGAGGAAGGGGTTTTTAATACGCCCAGCAGCATTGACAGGTTTTTAAAGGTTGTCTTATACAGCACTTCTTTCTAGGTCTGTCCTCAGATTGTCTTTTGGTTTTAAAAAACGATTCTTTATAATTTTGAGAAAACATTTTTTTTAGTAAAACTGTGTATTAGTGAGTTTTTGTACGCTTTCCGTTGGTCACTAGGAGACCAAGCGCCGTAGGCAATGCGTTTTGTTTCTGGAAGGTAACTGCTAAAAATGTAACTGGTGCTCAGAGAAGCTGCCTCGAGTGGGCTCGTCCATGCGAGTGAGACCGGTGGGGACAGAGGGGGGCTGCTGCCCTGTGCCCCCCTCCCAGTGCTGGGGGCTGGGGGCTTGGTGCCACCCAGCAGCTGCTGCAAGACATTTCCTGACCCTTTTTTATAGCTTCCTGGGTTTTGTTAAACCCTCGGCTTTGCAACTTGCTGCTGAGCTGCTCTTTTGGTGGGCTGGCAGGTACTCGTGGCACTTCCTTGAGCACACGCTCGTAAGTCACATTTTTATTTCCCTCCCCAGGTTTGCTTTGTATCTTTGCTGTGCTGAGGCATTTGCAGTCAGGATGTTGGTTCTGTTGAGAGCTTTTTTTGGTTTATTTCTGAATCTACTGGTTAGATTTATTGTCCAAACGGTTAAAGTATTTTTAAAGCTTATTTTGTTTGTGAACGTGCACACTTCAGTGCCAGGTCTGGATGGTATTGTATGCACTGGGAAAGCCAAGAGTTCCTACAACAGTATTTTCTATGCTATTAATCTACTAAATTTGTTTTCTATACAGAATCTATTTACAAAATTCACCATTTTAGTGATTAAAAAGGTGACCTTTTTATTTGAATGTATGGCAGGCTTTATATGTAAGTCAGTAATGATAGTAAAAAAGGATTTTATGTGCCTCTGTATTTTTGTACCAGCTTCCAATAAAACCAATGACCTTCCTTGGACCTTGTCCCTGCTGTATGTGGCTCTGGGGGCTGGCCCCTCACTCCCTCCAGCGGCAAGCACGGGAGGCTGGAGCTGAGCCAGGTGGGTGCCTGGGGCTGCACACAGCAACACCCAGCACCAGGCTGTGGCCCCAAGATGAAATTCATCAGGGGAAGGGGCCCAGAGCGTGTATGGGAGGCAAAGGCTGCTGTTTTCACCTACAAGGATGGGTTTCGGCAAGTTGTGCTGACGTAGTCAGTTACTGGCACGCTCCGACAGCAGGCACGGGGCTGCAGGGCAGCCAGGAGCAGAAACTCTGCCCCCCTCTGATCAAACCACTCAGGAATTCTGTATGCAGACAGTGTGTTTAAAAAAATAGTTTAATAAGCTTTCTCAGAATTGCAGACAGGGAACAGGGGTAGGACAAGGGAGTTACTAACAGTGCAAAATTACTATGTGTGACAAACTGTATAAAAACTAATTTGTAAATTCCGTGTGTCTGTGGTTGGTGGCTTTAACATCGCTTTAAATAGCCTCTGGAAAGCCCAACAAGGATTTACTCAGTTGAACGGGAGCTTTCAGCTCAGGCTGCAGTCACAAAGCACTCAGTGAAAGCCAGACCACCCCCATCCAGCTGAACACAGCGTGGTAGTGCTTAAAAAACATACCCAGGTGTCACTGCAAGCTCCACCTCGTCAACGCTGGCTGGAAACAAGTCCAAACGTTTCTGGGCTCCAAGGTGTACTGAATGCTTTCTACACAAAATCAAAGTTACTAAACTCCTAGATTTTTAAATAGCTTTAGTAGTGCAATGACTTATCAAGTTATAGTGGCTGCGTTTTGAAGAACATGAACAAAGTATTGTATAAAACACCAGCATGAACAAACTGTAAATTATAATTAAATAGTCTTAAAGTCTAGCTGAGCGTTACATAGGTGTTGATTACGGAATGTCAGGTCTCTTCTAGGTATCACCAGAAAAAGGTAAGATAAAAAAAAAACAAAGCAACATTCCTGAAAATATACACAGTGCTGTATTTCACACACAAGCCTGAGACAATTCACTTATAAACTTTCCTGTAAATTTTTGGAAGTATCTCCAACTTGCAAACAAAAACGCATAACAATAAAATTGAAAAAAGGACTCTAGCTGCAAAGACTTGGAAGCGCCGCACTGCCCTCTGGTCGGAAACCGTCTCAAGCCCACCTCTGAGACAAGGCTGTTATGGTTTGGGGCTCCGTTAGTGAAACGGATCACACAGCAACAGCAACAGCTTGCTTAATCAAGTGATTAAGGCAAAGCCATGCATTACCAATCCTTACCCATGTGCCTCTCAACATTAATTACTGCCTAAAGTAGGTAGGTGTCAACTTCGCACGTCAGCTGAACCAGTCGGAACATCAGTCCAAGCACTTCTGGGAACAGCAGGTGAATGCAGTCCAGGATCTAACCACGCTGATGAAGCTAATCTGGATCCAGGGAATTTGGCTCGTTAATGACCATGAAGTCCAAGTACATGTAGTTGAAGAACAAAACGAAACAAAACCCTTAGCAGATTTTTTTTCAGGTTGATACATTAGTTTCAAGCCATAGGACCCTACATTTAAAACTGGAATCGTGAAGACATACATTTTAAGATCATTTAGGTAAAAACCAATTAAAAATTAACAGCACACTTGTAAGCCACAGGAGGAGGAGGAGGAGGAGACATGATTATAAATTATACAAATGAACAATTTTTCCTATTTTTACTTCAGTAGAACGTGTAGCTGTGGCTCAAAAAAAAAAAAAAGAGGTTTTAAAAACCCACTGGTATTAAGCACCTTTCTATTTCATGGATGTAAGCCCTACTTCAACGACTTTCAAATTGTGCTAGTGGGAAGGGGAGCATCGCCCCGCTCCACACACACATACAAACAATTTTAGTTTCTAGCACGTTAATCTTTAAAGAGTTACCCATACCTACTCTCACTTCTTACATACGTGACTCTCTATATAGCAAACGTCTTTATGTGTATATACTGTACCAAGGATTTCTGGGTGATGTCTCTGCTCCCACTGACCTATCCATCCACGTAAGGTCCATCAGTATTCAGAAATTCGAGATCAGGCAGCAGGTTACCAGCTGCACAGCCATTTCTAACCGGTACAGCCAGAATCACTTGACCCATTTCGTGTCCTTCCTGTGCTCGGTGAAATGTAGATGATGAGAGATATACTGAAAATAGATCAATGAATAATCTAAAACCCGACCCTGGTGAACAAGGTTTAGTAAACTTAAGCATTTGGCTGACATGAAATTTATCTGAGCTCAAAATAAAATGAGAAAATGTAAATGAAAGCAAGAAAATTTGTGCAACGCAAGCATCATGCTTAACAAATTCTTAGCATCACTATTTGTCATAAAACAAGAAAAATAATCTTTTCAAAAATCAAATGACTTCTAACCATTCTTGATGTTAATGATTTACTGTTTGTTGTTTTTTGAGAAGAAAATAACATGTTGGTAACTGATAAGCATTCGTTTTTTTTTTCTAGGTCAATTGGTTTGGTTTGTCTTTTTTTTCTTTTTTTCTTTTTTTTTTTTTTCTAAGAAAAGAGTTCAGCAAAATAAAATGAAGCTGACATTAGACTCAGGATATCAATTCTCTCATAAAAGTTTACCAACTGTACAAGTTAAGAAAATTATACAAGCTTTTGTTTTAAGAAAGGACAGTTCAATCAAGACATAAGTACTGTAAAAATCTTTCAAAGGCTACAAAGAAATCTGGAAAAATACAGAATGTATTTCTTTAGCCCAGATAAGAATATGGAAAGACATCATTGATGTCAACAATTTTACATATACAAACCTGACCTGGTTTAGTTATTACCTTTTAAAACTTCTATATATAAAAATAGTTGTGCTCATAACTTTCAGGATTCATAAGGGTTCCTTAGCAATGGGGTGACACGTTTTTCCTCTCTAGAACGAGTCTCTGTGCCTACTCTGATGCGTGCCTCGGAATTCGCTATTTCATTGTAACTCCCCACAACAATCAGAAATTTAAACCAGCCCCCTGCTTCAACAAATAGGATGCTTTGTTCACTTGTACAATGCTTAAATAGTGTATATACACAGAATTAATTTTCTTTAACGTACTAGGCTGGAAGCATTTTTTCAGAGAATCACTGATTTGTCTCTCAAACATTTTGAAGCGCCTTAAGTGTTCCCAGAACTACAGCTGGCAGCTCTGAGAAACAGAATATTCTCCTACTGCTTTTCAGCACTGACAGAAACAAATAATCAGATCTTAAGAGCCAACTAGAAGGTATAAGGAAAATCTCAGCAGATTGTTTTACAGAACTGGATTTTGTAAGGTAACCCATCAACCCTGAAAATTTTAGACACCCAAAATTTACTCCAAGGAATAAAATCAGCTCTTAATATTCAGTCATCCAAAGATTCTAGTTCTTCAAGCTTCCCATGTGAGTTTGCTTCTTGGAAGAACTCTGATGAACCAGGACTCTCTTTTCCATTGCTGTTAATTCTTCTTCTTTTTAGAGGTCTTTCACTTTTTTCTTCAAAATCATTTTCATTTCTTGAAGTTGAATGAGCAAGTTTTGGGTCAATGGAAAGGTTTTCAGTTTCATACCCATTTGTATCCAGATCTGTGTGAGGTGTTTTCTTGCCACTGGTAGGTCCATTTACATGCAATCCTTCAATTTTTGCTTCATCTTTATTTGGTATCTCGCCTGGCCCGTTAGCAGACACCCCTGCGGTAGAGACATATCACAAAGAGAGTAGAAGCGTTAAGTAGAACAGGAAAAATTGTGACAGGTCGATAAAACAGCAGCCTAACCACTCCCACTGAACTAAAAAGCCAATACTGCTCTTTGTGTCCTCACTGTGTGATGAACAAGTGGTTTATTAGCATACAAATGACAGATATATCATGACAGTTTATGGAAGCCCTCAGAAGCATCAGCAGCTAAGAAAATGTCCCTGAAACCCACAACAGCACAAGCTGCAGGTGGATTGCCCTCACCTGGACAGTTTCTGTAGTTTCTACTCTTTTCACAATCTGATTCAGCTCTCAGGCCCTTCCTCCACTTGCTACAACTTTTACTTCAGCTCCTTCAGGATGGCTGCCCCTTGCTTTTGAGGTTTTAAAAACCCTGCATGGAACTGCTCACAAAGTTAGAGTTACACTACTACAGCAGCATGGGGAAGACAAGACCAGGTAAAGTGCGTTTAAAAGGAAGGTTTTTCTGAGATTTATCTTCAATACATGGTTACTGGCTACATGCAAAGATGTAGCTTTTTTTTAAAAAAGCATTTTTAAGTTCAAGCTGCTAACACCTTGGAAAATATTGAAAACTAAACTAGAGCTGTTTTTAGTGAGGAAAGCTGAACTTCTCTTTTGGCTTGTCGTCTGCAATGCTGCTGTGACTTGGCAACCCGATTTCAGAGGGACGGGGCACTCACCGTTCTGATTACTGCTGCTGGTTGCACCGTCTTCTCTTTCCGACTGGCTGGTGCTGCTGTTGGAAGCGGTAGGAGGCGGGGACGGAGCTCTGCTGGAAGCAGCACTTTCACTTTCATCCAGGAGGCGATCCATGTAATCTCTGCACAACACAAACAGCACACTCAGCACTGCCCTCGCTACTGAAAGCACTGATTTTGTTTGTACAAAAGGATTCACTGCACACACTGCATGCGTGACCTGTTCACATCTTTGCATCTCTTTGAAATGCACCAACTTCTGCAAACTTCAGGGCTTTAAGATCAGCTGTGTTAACTGGCCCGCGTGCGGACTGACCACAACGTTTGCTGACCCACCACTGCAGCCAGCTTACAGAAACTCAGCCCACGCTTGTGCTACATCCCGTAAGATCACGCACAAGCAGGAACATCAACAATGCTGCGATGCTGTGGGCTGTGTTTTCAAGGTGCTGCTCCAAGGCAGGTGCACACTACGAAATAAGTTTTGTGTGTATACAGTCTCGAAAGGGGTAAGAGTTAAAAGCAAATGAAAA